ATCAAACTGAAAAGCTTCTGCAGAGCAGAAGACAACAGAATGAAAAGACAACCTATCAAATGGGAAGAAGTTTATGCAAGCCATAAGAAGTTAATATCCAAAATATATACTAAACTCATGCTATTCAATAGCCAAAAACCAAGTAATCTAATTAAAAAAGGGGCAAAACCCTTAGCAGCCATTTTTCCAAGTAAGATATGTGGAAGGCTAACAGTTACATGAAATGATGCTCAACACCACGAGGCATTAGGGAAGTGCAAATCGAAACTGTTGATACACATGATACCAACTCACATCTATTAGGACAGAGGTCATCAAAAAGACATGAAGTAAATGTTAGCAAGGATGTGGAGGAAAGGGAACCCTGTGCACTAGTGATGAGAATATAAACTGGTACAGCCACTATGGAAAAGCAGTATGGAAAATCTTCAAAATATTAAAACTAGAATCCTCAAAAAACTAAAACTTAGAAATAGAGGTGTTGGATCCCTATGATCCCGCAGCTCCGTCTTGGGTACATGTTCAAAGGGAACAAAAACACTAAATTCAAAAAGGTACCTGCAGCACCCCACGTTCACAGCAGCTTTACTTACAGTATCCAAGACGTGGAAAAAACCTAAGGTCCAACGACAGATGGAAGTGTAAAGCTATAGTATATTTTATATATATACACACACAATGAAATACTCCTCAGACATAGAAAGAGGAAATACTGTCATTTGTGACAGCGTGGATGGACCTTGAGTACACTGAATGAAATATATCAGAGAAAGACAAACACTAAATACTGTATGACCTCAGATGTGAATTTAAAAGGAACCCCCGCCCCCCAAATTTGTGGTGGGGGTTGGGGGAGAAGGCATTGGAGAAAGGTGGCCAGAAGGCACGGACTCCCAGTTACAAGACAAGTGAGTACCAGGGATGTGATATACAGCATGGGGGCCACAGTGAACACCACTGTATGATGTGTGTGGAAGTTGTTAACAGAGTAAATCCTGAGAATTCTCATCACAAGGGAAGCAATCTTCTTCTTTTTTTACTTTCTCTTTTTATTGTGTCTATGATGACAGATGATAAACAAACTTAATGCGGTAATCACAATATATGTAAGTCAAACTATTAGGCTGTGTGTACCTTAAAGTTATACAGTGATGCATGTCAATTATATCTCAATAAAACTGGGGAAAATGAAAGGGCAGGAGAGCTACAATGCTGAAAACAAATTTTTTTTGGTCCTCTCCCTGCTGAAATCTTTAGTATGAAAGATTTGGAGGGAGTGTAGCAATGTGTGTACATATATATATGAAATAACACAAGAGTAATTGTACTTATGTTAATTATGCTGAAAAAATAGAACTTTAATATGTTAGAAACTTCTAATATAAAATACTCTGTCCATGTAAATAAAGCAAGTATAATTGTTTTAGAATTCAAAATATGAGCATGCTCTACTGAGCAGTTCCAAATGAAGTACAGGGAATGTTTATTCTTTTTCTGCAATACATTGTATGGAGTAGGGAATACCTTGTGAATGGTAAATACTTAGGATGCAGTGGTAATGGCTTTTGCATTATCAAAACATAGCTGACTTCATGCGTTTCCTGTAGTTATCAACTCCTAGAAGCCTCTTTGCCAAGTACTGAGGACTGACTTTAATTTCTTCCATTTGGCAGTGTCCATCTACAAAAGTATATACATAATAATACATTTTTAAAGAACGACACCATAAATCTACCAGACAGAGCTATGCATTTATTTTGAAAAATAAATAGGATAAATATTTGATCTTTTAAAATTTAATTCTTTAATGTGATGTTTCTCACATCAAACTGTTTTTCAGATTTTCAAACATCTTACAAAACATAATTTACATATATATTCATTCAGACTACCTATTAAGAGTAAACCTAATACTGAAATTTATGTAAAAGGTTACATTTATTGCTTGTTAAACGTTGCTGTGCTTTCACAGGGACTTGAAAGAATACAGCCAATCTGATGAGACTAAAATCTCTAACAGTACATTCTTGTTTCAAATCAAACATCAATCAGGAAGTGTTTTACTCAGGGCTGTCAGTCTGAAACATAGGGGATAAACCAATGTAAAACTAGCCAAGGCAAATTACTTAACTCAAATGACTTAGTATTTCATTATATTCAGGTAAATTCAGTGATATGAAGTAGGTAAGAATTTTGATCATAATCCAGCAATTGAAAAAGGAACATTTTTAGAACACAAGAGATGAAGAGAAGGAAAACTCTGACACACATTTCTGTTCTTTAAAAGCACACAATCAGTTTCTTTCCTTGGAAATTAATCGGAGCTGTCCTTTAATGTAAGCATATAAATTACGGTCAAACTTACCTCTCTATTCCAATATGAATTTCCTAGTTTATTCCTAGAAAATGTTCCAACTTTGAAATGTATCTCATTTAAGTATTTCATTTTATTTAGAGAACTTCCTCCTATTTTGATATATGAGCGTTTACATGTCTACCCATGACAATCTCCACTTGGAATAATCTAGTAACTCCTAAGCCTCCACCATTCCGACTTCATTACACGTTAAAGCAGAATCAGAATCTCTGCCTCATCAGGCACTGCCCCCTCTCTCGCACTGCCTCTCCAGCATGGCCACTTACAAGAAAACAATGTAGATATAAACTTATAAGAAAAGTCCCTTAATTCCTGTTGTAATAACAGAACCAAAATTCATGCATAGTCAAATGCAGACCTTTCTCATCTTGGGTGACCGACATAACCTGTATCTGAACTGATGTGTCTGTCTGTTAAGGGCAGACAGTGACAATCAAAACTCCTCTCCTTAATAACTGGGTTGTACGGAGGTTATCCAATCAATTAATTTTGGAAGGAGAAACCAAGCTATGTTAACCAGTACAGAATAAAACTGAAATAGTTCAAGTTTAAAGGAGAAAACATTGAAACAAATTATTTATGTGATTGAAGAGACTATACAAAAAAAAATTTCTTTTTGCTGAGAGATAAAGCACTTAAACCTACAGTTACATACTATTTCCACAATACTATATATACCTGCCTCACTGAAGTAGGTACTTAATAAAATTAGTAGATCAAATAAATGCACTGATGTCCTTTCAGAATGGCTCTGGACCTCTGGTGTCTTGTTCTAGGATCTCCCTGGTTTATAGGAAAGCTACCTGTCTGCAGGTACGGTCTGTTGTATCCTCCGTCCACTGCAGTGACTGCAGGGAGGGCTGACTCTCTGCTTGGTGCGGCAAGGAAAGTTCCTGAGTACCCAGAAGACTCTGTCACGGACTTGAGATACTTACCTCGCTCATCTAGAAATCCAGAGTAGGCCCTGGCTGGTGTGGCTCAGTGGACTGAGCACAGGCTGCGAACCGAAGGGTTGTCGGTTCAATTCCCTGTTAGGGCACATGCCTGGATTGTGGGCCAGGTCCCCAAAAGGGGACATGCAAGAGGCAACCACATACTGATATTTCTCTCCCTCTCTCCTTCCCTTCCTCTCTCTCTAAAAAATAGATAAAATCTTTTATTAAAAAAAAAAATAGAAGTCCAGAGTAGTTATTCTGCCTTCCTCGTCTGGTCATTTTGAGGATCAAACGGCACCCCCTTAGCACAGCGTGAGGAAGACGGGCGATTAATGAAAGAGAACTGCTTCACCCAAAGTACACCTTTACGCTCCATGTGAACACTTGCCCTCCATAAGCACAGAGCAATAGTATATATACTATTCAGTATACCTCAAGTCTACGAAAATGATTTCGTTTCTCCTAAAGCTCTATTGCCAAACACATGTTACAGGTGAACAGAGACATGAAGACAAACGGTGCTGTGTGCTGGTGTGTGAGATGGCGATCACATTGGGATGAAAGTCAAACAAAGGGACGCGCTAGGTGGTTCTGTGACGTAAACACCACGGTACCAAGCCTCAGGTATACAGTTCACCATTCTCTCCTTACTTAGCCTTTCACAGTTACCCATAAAATGTGTGCACTCTGTAATATGGAATAGAAGCAAGCTGCTGAACATAGTAGAGGATAAATGGAAAATCTAATTAAAATCTAACTTTCTAAATGTTAAATACTAATTTTATTTATTAGTATAGCTTTTCTCTGATGAAAAGCTAACACAATAAAGGTCAGAAAATTTCATTGATTTTTTTTAGGTCCAGATTAACTATTCATTAACAAAGATGATTTTTTAACTTTAACATTAGTAATTTAGACAGCCTATCCTTATCCGACCACATCGCATACTTTATATTAAAAAATTAGCATGAAAGTTTATGTTGGACTAATTTAAGTGAATGGCAATTTTTTTTCTAGTAGGTGAAATATTTATTTGCCTGTATTGCTTCTTAAATGCATTTTTAATTTTAAAAATAAAACAAGGTATAAAAGCAGCTGGTTTATTCTTTTGATTTATTGTATGTATTAAAAGTTACTTTTTTGAGATGGCACATTGGCAGGTTTAATGTTTACTGACACTAGGAATATCTAAAAGATATTGTTTTTGAAAGTTTGGTTATCCAGAAAGAATGAGAAAAAAATAGAGTCTACAGTCTGAAAAGTGATTTTTTTCATAAAAAGTTGAGAGGAAACAGACCATTTCTGATAAAGAAATGAGGCAGATTCAAATTAAAAATACAAATTTAAATGAAGTAATTTTATAAAATATGAAAACTAGCTAAATTACATGCAGAATTATTTAATCAATAAGAGAGGAACAGCAGTGGAACTTAAATATGATAGGATTTATCCATAATAAATAAACATTTTTAGTGCAAATAGTGCAGAAAAATTTCTCAAAGTCAAGATGATAGCAATCATTCTGATCTGTACAAAATCAGTCTCAGTTCTGTATACAATCTATATAGTGAGTCTATGAATTCAGCTGCTATGATGAATGCCAATTTGCAAATCACAAATAGAAATGTGCTCAGTTATGTGTCCCATTCCTCTCTTGGCAGTTCATGTTCTCAGGAAAATCTGGAAAGAAAAGAAAATTAAAAAACGCCTAAGAGTTAATTTAAGACAATAAATTTGCATCCCTTTCCATCCTCTTCCCGTTAAGAGTGACCTAGAAAAAGATAACTTGACCATGAGGGAAAAGAGGTGGGGGAAGGATTCCAGCATGTTCCTATGAACAAGCAATTGCTCAGTGCCCACTTTCTTCTCGACCTGTGAGACACACACACTGGATATTACAAGTCAGCCCGTACCCTCAGGGACTGACAGTATGATTTGTAAAGCAAGATGTAAAACAGTTCAACATTGGCACTAATCGCAAACACAGCAAGAATGAGAGAAGGGGCAGACGAGCTGGGGACAGAAACGCCTGTTATCTCCTTCCCTGTAGTCTGCTCCCCCTTTTAGGGACCTTCTCGTGCTCCCTTCTCAAAGTCCACTCCTTCAGCCCAGTCCAGTGGGCAGAGGACCAGTGACACCCATCTCCAAGCCAAACTGCTGAGTCAGGACGGACACCCCCAGCCGGGGCCAGTGCCCTCCCAGGGACTTGCGGCGAGCCCCTTGTCGGCCCCCAGCGGCTGCCTGACTGTTAGGATCAGGCTGTGGGCAGCAGTGGCTGAAGCCTGTGCAGTGTGGTACAGAAAGGCTCTCCGAAGAGGAAAAAGCGGATGCAGAGCTGAGAAACCAGCCGTCTTGGAAAGGGTGAGAGAGACAGAAGCAGCCCTGACTGCTGTAGCCTCTGGTGGTGTTTCCTCTCGGGTGGCTGAGCTCCACTTCTTGTACTTGGCTCGGTTCTGTATCCCAGTGTTACCCAGTGACACGGCTTTTTATTTAAAACTCGCTGGGGTGGGAATCAGTCCTTACAGCCGAATCACTCCCTGGACGAGGCGGATGGAGAGGGAAGGGAAGGCTGTCTGGAGATCAAGAAAAGCCATGAACAGAAACATGGTGCAGACAAAAGAACGTGACACGTGAGACAACATAAGGGAAGATATGGAAAATTAAACCAGATAATCTCAAGTATGTGTCAGATTACAGCAGACTTTAAAACCAGAGGGAAAAACACGGTGCTGCTGCTGTCATCGTAGGCGGCCGGCACAGGTTCTAGAGCGGAGAGACCAGAGCATCCGGTGGTGCTGCTGCGGGCAGGTGAGCCTGCCAGTGCTGTGCAAGAGGGAGGAACGCCGAGGCCAGGGCACTGGCAAGGGCGTCACTGGCATGATCCTGGTGTGAGATGGAAGAGAGACAGGCCGGAAGTTCATTTTAAAGGAAGAAATGACAAACAAGACTACTGAGGACATGGTATATGCCACAAAGCTGAGAGCAAGGGACTAATTATAGTTTACAATACATAATAGCTATCGATGCTCGCAAAAAACTTTCATTTAAGCCAACATCATACTAAGAAAATATCCTAAAAGTTTCTACTGGCTATATGCTTATAATCTAACATTATGCTTAATACATAAGGGAAAATATGCTACATGTTACATAGCGTAAGAGCCCTAATGACAACATGACACTTAAAGCTGGTGGGACAGGCTCCTGTGATTACATCAAAGGGCAGCCACGCAACAGCCTGGAGACTCGCACCGTCTGGAATACGACTCACCTACAACGGAGCATGGAACTGGCTGTGCACCGCTATCACCTGCTGAAGCTTCTCTTCCTTGGCTCTTCTGCAGTGGCAAATCTAGGAGACAAATCATTTCAAACACCAGTCACTTCTCCAACAACTTGCCTACTACTTGCTACATTATGAAAGAATTCTAAGTAAGACTCTTTTAACCTATTTACACTTAAGTTTTGAATGTTTAAGGCAGTTCAGAATTTAAGAGCTAAAAAATAATTTTGGCAAAAAACATTTACCTATAAACTTCCAGAATATAAAACAAACTGATGCTTTATATTAGTTCTGACTATGTAATATCAAATATCTGTGTTTTAAAAACACGAACATAAATCCTAATATTGTTAACTAGGGAAGTTAACAAATAAAAACTCCAAGGTACAGTTATATGGTACCGAAGAACAACAGATGAAATATAAATGCCACTTACACTGATGCTGTAACCATAGTTGTTAATGTCCCTGAGCTTCCACTTTCTCCCATGGAAACTGAGGATAACAAAACCTGCCCCACCGTCCTGAACAAAATAGGCATGTATATACACAGCACATATGTTTTACAAGTTTCGTGACAAAAGGTTATTTTTATTTATTATTATTATTATTATTATTATTATTAACCCTCACTGAGGACATTTTCCCCCTGCTTCTAGAAAGAGAGGGAGGGAGAAAGGGAGAGAAACATCGATGCAAGAGAGAAGCATTGATTGGTTGCCTCCCATAGGAGCCCGGACCAGGAATCGAACTTGCAAGCTAGGCATTATGCCTTAACCAGGAATTGAAACCACAAACTGTCAGTTACAGGACTCTCCTCTAACCATTTCAGCCACACTGGCCAGGGCTAAAAGGCGAGGTTTCAGAGGAATTAGGTAAATATGTAGAACCCCATCAAAGGGCACAATATTGCTAAGCAGACTTTTTGATTTTTACTTAAATATAATGGAAATAATCATCAAACAGAAACTATTCCAGAATGTTCTTAATAATATTTAAAAAAAATTAATCTCTGTAACACATTCTCTCTTAAAGTAACTCGTGAAACAGGCTGTTCAGGAGCACACTACAACTATGAAGACTACACTTGCGCCGATCTACCACCTTTACTACAGAATGACACAGACACTAGCGGTTCTGAAACAGAACTGTTATTTGATTTACCTGCTTGTGTACTCACAACAAGCAGATTTAAAGTGACAGCAGGATGCTGCTATCCTTCTCAATAGAGGCTCTTCAGTTTCTTTTCATGGCACTCAAAACTGCACCTCAGTAACGTGCTGACATTGCTTTACTCATGAATATACTTAATTTGATATTACGCTGCCACTCGTCCTCAACTGAAGAGTGTTACATACTGTTCTCTTTTCCATGAAGCTACTCAGAAAATCATCCACTTCAGTTTTTCCCTCCAAGAAATCTTCAGCAATGTTATCAGATTCTTCCTCAGCTTCGTGTGCAGCTACTTTTAATCTTGCCTGTAGGGCACTCGCACTACAGCTCTGAAAAAAAAAAACCCAGGTGCTGTATTAGTTCATGACGATCAGGAAGTCCTCAGAGAGGGAGAACCGAGGCAGAGACAGGGAGAAGCAGTCTACTGTGTGTGCCACAGGCTCCTTCTGAGCAAACCTGCCACCGCCAGGCCCTCTGCTTCTGGATCCAGGCGGGTGCCCAACACAAGAGAACTCGACCCACGGGCTGCAAACTGTGAAATGAAAGACACTGGGCAAATCAATGTCCTTCCTCGGAATTCAGTATTCAGATCACTGTGGCAGGCACCCCCTAGGGCAATCCCCAGTGAACCCCAACTCCTGGTACTTCCTGCCCTCAGGTAATGTTCCGCCCCTTGAATGTGGGCTGGACAAACTATGACAAAAGCCATAGGATTGAATTTAATTGAAGGGGTGAAACTACAAAACACTGCTGAAAGAAATTGAAGAGGACAATAAAAAATGGAAAGACAAAGCAATAGCCGTTCAGATACATGGCCGAATATTTTCATAATGTGTGCCAAGGCCGTTCAGCAGGGAAGGACAGCCCGCTGAACCAGTCCTTGAAACTACTGGTACTGGGTAAACTGGGGATCCACACGCAGAATGAAGCTGAACCCCTACCTTACCTCGTGCAAAAGTTAACTCTTAATGAATCCAAGAACTAAGTGTAGGAACTAAATCTATTTTTAATACTAGTCACCGCAGTGGGCGTAAGGTAGTAGACTCATCATCATACATCACGCACAGGAACATACAAGAAGGCACTGTTTTCTTAGCACTCTTGCCAACAATGGTTATCTACCTTTACAAGTTTGGCTCACACAGATGCTGTAATTTTGCTTATTATCATCAGAAGGTTGAGCATCTTTTTTAAATGCTTACTTCACTTGTTCCTTACACTATTTATTGAGCGTGCACTACGTGTCAAGCACTGGACCAGGTGCTGGGTCTAGTGGGGGAACAAAGCGGGACAAGTTCCTGGACTCCTGGCATCAGGGGTCTGGTGAAGTGGTTTCCACACTTCAGAGTGTAGAAGATTCCTCATCTGCCAAAGTCTAGAGAAGAGCTTAGGAACCATGTTTTTTTATTTTATTTTATTTTATTTTATTTTATTTTTTTAAGCATTTCAAGAATCACTTCAAGTAATTTTTATGTAAGTGGTCCAGGAGGCAGAATAACTGTTACATCAAAACACCTATTGGACATTCATATTTCTCCTTTTGTGAGTTTCCTGTTCTTTTTCCTATTTGTAAGGGATATTTATGAACCATTGACATTAATATGTGTCATATACATGAGACGTACTTGTTCCCTTTTCTTCAGTTTTGACTTTATGATCTTCAATACAAGTTTTAAATTTATATAAACTTTTAAACACATTCTTTCTTTTATGCTCCTGCCTATTACATCATGCCTACAAAGGGTTTTTCCTACTAAATCTTTAAAAAAATCCTAGAAGACAGTTGCCTTTCACAATTGTATGGTTTCTAATTAAATACTAGCACAGGTGTCCAACCTTTTGGTGTCTCTGGGCCACACTGGAAGAGCTGTCTTGGGCCACACATTCAATACACAAACACTAATGAAAACTGATGCAAAAAAAAGGTGTTAAGCGACCTGAAGGTTTTTTGTCGGGCCGCACGTGGCCTGCAGGCCGCAGGCTGGACACCCCCCAGCACATGTTACTGTGATGGTATGATGTAGGAATCTTCTTCCTAAACGGGTGGCCAGTTATATTCACTAAATCCTCAGCTGCTCCGAATTTCACATATACCCACGAGTCTGTTTCACAGAACTATTTCTCTCTTCGCACAAAGCTGCTCTACTGTTTAAACGGTGCCCTGTTTCTGCATACTTTGGTGCTGGGCAGGGGAGGTCATCCTCACTGTTCCTTTCTGTTCAAGCTCTCCTGACTACGCTTACCCACTTAGTGTTTCCAATAAACTTTAGAATAAATCAGTCAAATTTTTTAAAAAAAATACTCTTGGGACTTTTTTATTGTAAGCATATTAAATTTTTAGGTTATTTTGGAGAGAATGCAGTCTTTATAATATTAAAGCTTTCAGCCCATGAATATTCCATGTTGCTTCATTTACTCAAGTCTTCTTTCAGGCTACTCGGCAAAGTTTCCTAACTTCACTAAGAGTCTGGACAAGGCATGGTGCCGACTGTCGGGAAGAGCTCCTTCAGCATCTAGCAAGCTCAAACGTGAGACCAGGAGGACTGCAGCTGGCTGCTCCGAGCTCCTGGCTAAGACTGAGGGAGGGAGGTTTGATTCCTGACTCATACTTCCTATTTATCAGAACTCAGGGAAGTTATTTATTAACCCTCTCCTCAGTTTACCTGTAAAACAGAAAAACAGTAATGCCTGCACCTCAGAGGTTTGGGGGAAATAATGGACAGTATGTCAACTGCGTAGTGCAATGCAAAACACATAATAATTGCTCAATGTTAGCTATATTTAATTCTAAAGGATGACCACATCTGATATCCATTATAAATTTATATTCTCCTTTACCATCATTTTCTGCTGTTGTTTTATTTCTGCTTTGTGTTTTATTACATTGGATTTACCTTCTAGAAACGGTGATTTTAAAGGAAATACAATATTGTTAACTATGTTACTGATACAACATACAGATAACATCCTATATTCTCTTATTTTTACAGATTTAGTTTTTCAAAACTGAGTGAAGTTTTAAAAATGCTTTTGGTTTTTCATATAACCAGACTTCTAGCACAAAATTTACTGCTTATGGTGAAATACATTTATGTATTTTTCTATTTGCTGACTTTTCTTCTAAGGTATCTATACAGAAGTTTACAAGTGAGTCTAAAGTTAAAGCTTTTTTGTTGTTACATTTTATTCCAAGAGTTAAACCAGCTTTATAATAACTTTCCCTGAAAAATTATTTAAGGGGCTTTTAACACTTTTCTGTTTGGGAACCAAATAAGCTCTTACATGAGCACAAATGACTTATAATGCCTCATAATTGGGAGCTGTTCATCAGCATTTCAAGTTATCACGCCTTATAAAGTCAGACTCCTAATACATGCTTTCTGAGAAAAACGAAAGTAAGAACGTGGCTCACACACACTCAGAGTGAAAATGCTTACGGTAAAGGGGAGGAGCTACCCAGCCTTACCTCACTGAGTTCATGCTGTCTCTGCATCTTCTTTTCAAAAGCTGATTTCATTTGTGTAAGTAATTCATACTAAAAGAGAAAATACATATGCTGTTTTCTTCCATTTTTAAATCACATGAATTTCTTCAAAATGAGAACTCACCTTATCTAAAACAGTTTGCCTTTTGGCTTCCAAGCTGGGCTCCAAAAGCAAATTTTTTCCTGTAAGATAAATTTGTTTTATCTCTAGGTAAAAATCACATTTTTCTTAAGAAATTTAAGAAACAAGGGAAGACGTACTTGCTAGCTCCTCAATACTTTTTACTAAGTTGTCCTTGTCACTGATGATTTGCTTCAGTTGAGGCAAAGTCAGGAACTGCTCCAGCAGTATCTCCTCCTGCTCGTTCATGTCTGTAAGCTGCGACACACTGGGAACAGAGCAGAAAAGTGTCAGTGAGCGCCAGTCATCTCGCTCCTCTGCGTTATGAAAAGTACCCATGACTTTCCACTTTTCTTTAGTTGATAGGGTTCAAAATAATTTTTGAAGTATGCATTCACACAAGTGAAATTATAACCTTAAAAACAAATAAAGTATCACGGAACATAAAGCAGTCTGAATGTGGTGTCAAATCGCTGTGGGACTATGAAGACTAGGGTGCATGAACAGCCGTACCAAACTCCAAGCTTCTTTATCCTTGCCCAAAGTCATTTTTTTATTGCTTTTATTGAGGAAGGAAGATAAAGAGAGAGGGAGTGGGGCGAGAGGGAGCAGGGGGAGGAGGGGAGACAGGGAGACAGAGAGAGAGAGAGGAAACATGGATGTGAGAGAAATATCAATTGGCTGACTCTCATATGTGCCCCAAGGGGGACTGAACCCGCAGCCTGAACCTGGATACATGCCCTAACTGGGAATCAAACCCCTGCCTTTCAGTCTACAGGATGACGATCCAACCAGATGAGCCACACTGGCCAGGGCTCAACCTCCCAAATTCAGCCTATGTGGCTGTCACAATAAAAGATATGTATATGTGTTACATATTTAAGCTTAGAAGCCTAAAGCAAATCAAAAATCAGTATCCACAGGGTTAAAGAGGCAGCGGGGTAAGAATGGAATCTAAACTTTTCTGAACGTATCTTTTAGTTTTGACTGCAAATCCATATAAAAGCAATATATGATTAAAAATCAAGATTAAAGAAAAAAGTTATCTCTAAAATTCAAAGTAAACTTTTTTCTCTTGTTACATAATCATCCTGAAAAATATTATTTGAAGAGACTTTAAAAAATAGTACTTGGCTATATATCTCTGGTGTGGTATAACCTAAAGACAAAAGAAGTGGAAAAACAAAAACAAATCATCAAAATCTTATCCTGCATTTGGTATTCACAGTAATAATACTGGTATTGATGTGTTTTGACATTCAGTTTACATGTATTGAACATATAAACGAGTGTCTGAATGAATAAATGATTCCGACAAACATTTACTGAGTTCCTACAAGCACAGCTCAAAAACTAAGACTGCAGAGAACTTACATTGATTTAATTTAGAGTTTGCCATTAAAACCACAGTCTTCGAACTGCAGAAAAATTGGCAACACAGTGGCCCGCAGTCCGTAAGAGAGGTCCTGAGGAACTATTCCAGTGAGCTGCATCGGCATGCTCCGGGCTACGGAATCAGACCTTGTTCCCTCTGATCCTCCTCCTCGGGAGTCTCCTCCTCCTCTGGAGTCTCCTCATCCTTTCTTTGAGACTCTCTCTTCCACTGAGAGCATGCTCTGGCTTCGGCCAACTGCTCCAGGCACCCTTCTACCGGACTGATTTCCCAAAGAAAGTGCAAGAGTCATTCTGGCATCTTTGGCTGATATTGTCATTTTGAAGAAGAGTTAGTAGCTTTCAGAGAAATGGCTGACTTCAGGTCAGGGAAAAGAAATGTTCATAGTGAGCCCATGGAAACTATGTTTTGCCAGAAAGATACAGAAGCCAACTTAAAGAATTTCCTATTGATTAAAGACAGGACTTTTACCAAAAAGAATGATGATAGCAATGGATTGAAGCAATCGAACATACTTTTTAAAATGTATGCGTTCTTAGTAACACAAGAACAACTATAAAAACAAACAAATAACTGTTGACTATCAGAACCTTTGGAGAGTGCTTATGCATCAACTCCTATTGTGAAAATTGATAACAGTGGAAAAAAAATCAAGCATTTATCTCCTCTTTCCTGTATTACATTTCAATAAAACTAAACAGCTGATTTAGGAAAGTTCTTCATAGAATTCTGGCAGTAGGAAGTCGCATTTGCAACCCTTAATGAAATACTGGATAAGCATGATTTCAGGTGCTGTCAACTTGGTCCTACCTTAATGTCCTTAAAAGGAGGACAACTGGATGTCACTGCGGCCTTAAGTAATATATAGGGCAGCAGGCACTAATTGTGATGTTAGGAAACTTGCCAAAAGATTTCAACCTAAACCTTTTTTTTCAGCTTTACTGAGATAACTGACATGTAACATTGTGTAAGTTTATGGTATACAACACAGTTTGATAAAAACTGAATCTAACTCTAATCAAAACTTTAGATATAGCCACCAACAGAAGGAAATATGGGAAATAGAGAAAGGTCTTCAATGGCACCACAAGAATGCAATCAGGCGGAAACAGGATATGGGAGATCCCACACGAAAAATACCAATTCTTCAATAAATACATAGTAATATGTGTGCAACTTATAGTAATGCATTTACGTTTACGTGTATATGTATATGTGTATATAAATGTGTGTAGGGATGTGTGTGTGTATTAAGAGATGGGGAAAAATGGTACACCATTAAAAGAAACTTAGTAAGAGATACAGTATGCAAATGCAATAAATACACCTTGTTTTGAATCCTTATTCAAATAAACTACCACAAAAAGATTTGATTATTAAGACCCTGAGGAAATAAGATTAATATTAAAGAATTATCATTAATTTTGTTAGGCATGATTATGATGTAGATTGGATTGGAGTATGATAAAGAAAAAGTCCTTATCTGGTATCAGAAATTTAATGAAGAACTTGTGGGTAAAAATGACATATTGGATATTTTGTTTAAAATAATCATGACCCATAGCCATACTTCCTAAAAGTGAAGCTGGAGGAAGGGTATATGAAGCAAGTCATGCAAAGAGGTTCACCTTTTTGTATTTTTGACATTTTTGTAGTAGTTTTTCAAAAAAGGAAGGAAGAAAAAAAGAATCCTTTATCACATGACAGCAATACTAGCTACTTCATGGAGTTGTAGCAAGCATTACAATGCCTATAAACCCTTAACATGTATGTCACATATACTGTAAACATTCATTAATTTATGATTAGCAGAAAGTAAGCCACTATTTCCTTAAAATGACAGTAGAACACCAGGTCAAATAAAGCTAAACGTCTTTTTTTAACTATAATATTTCTCATGGGTATTTGGCTGTACAACCCTGACGGGATGTATTTCAAAGTCAAAAAGAGACTTTCGGTCAACATGGCAGCATAGCAATCAGAGCTCACCGCCTCATGCAACCATGTAAAAATTACAACTAAACTACAGAACCACCATCACTCAGAATCATGAAAACTCGGGTTAAACATAAGTCCGACAACTACAGAAATAAAGAAACCACATCCATTCAGGCTGGTAGGAGAAGAGGAGACATGGAACAGCCTGGTCCCACACCCACGTGTGGTGGATAAAAATCAGGAGGGACATCTCGGGAGCAAGGAGTCCCAGCCCCACACCAGGCCCCTCAGCCCAGGGTCCCAGTCTCAGGAAATAAGTCCCCATAACTTCTGGCTGCAAAAACCAGCGGGCATCGAGTCGCTGGAAGAAACTTCTGGAGTCCCAAGTAGTTCCTCTTAAAGAACCCGCACACAGACTTACTCAGACTCACTCCCTGTGAGCTCCAGTAACAGGGCAGCAGCCTGCAAGGCACCAGTGTCAGGGAAGGAACAAGTGTCTGGCATCAAGAGGAGATCGTGGGGACAGCTTTCTCCCAGACAGAGTGAGGGCAAAGGCCACTGTTCTGTTTCTGAGCTCGCCCCACACGGAGCCCCAGGGCTGGCGGGTCAAGGGCTTCCCAGACAAGGAAAAACTAAAGGAGTTCATCGTCACCAAACCATTATCATATGAAATGTTGCAGGGACTTATTTAAGAAACAGAACATAAACTATGAACAATAAAATGGCAATAAATACGTATTTATCAACAATTTCATCTAAAAAAACAAACTAAGCAAAGAAGAACAGAGACGGAATCATGGATACGGAGAAAGCCTTGACGGTTGCCAGGTGGGAGGGGGATTTGAGGGAGAAGGGGTGAAGAGGTGAGGGACTGAGAAGTACAGGCAGGCAGCCACAGCACGGCCATGGGGTGTAAAGCACGGCACAGGGAACGGAGGAGCCGAAGCACTTACACGAACGGCCAGTGGACATGAATGAAAGTGTGGGGACTGCCCGAGGGAGTGGGGGCTGCGGGGTGGAGGGGCAAAAGGGGGAAAATTGGGACAACTATAATAGAATAACCAGAAAAATATAATTTTTAAAAAGACAAAAAGAACTGTAAAATTTTTTAAATTGAATTTGGTAGTCTCATTAAGAAGAGCTTTACGAGTACTGTGAACTTTCAATGGGGATGGAAAAGATGCAATGTTTCCCAAAGCTGAGTGGCCACAACACATGTTTTTTTCATGGGCCATCTAAGAGATGTATTCCACAAAAATTGTGGAACCTTAAACTTGAATACTACAGACTTATTTCCCATAAAACTGAATAAAATTTGGCTGTATAAAATCAACTTCCTATTACTTTATGAGAACTTTAATCCATTTCTCTATGTACAAATGTCTGTCTACTAATGGAACAGTGGAAAGGTTTAAAGCAGGGCAAGATATTTTTTGAAATCTCAAGGGATAATGTACTAAGAAATAATTTTCACAAGACTGTAAGCCGCACAAGATAAAGGGCATCGTCATCCTAGTAATTATTATATCATTCCCGGCCCCTAGAAAGTCCCTGGACAAATACTAGTCAGTCAATAAATACAACCTGTAAGACATAAAACTGATAGATTAATATGAAGATCTGGTTTGTACTCACAAATAAAAGAGACAGTGAATATCAATGTTATTCTCCGAGTTTTTTACCTTAGTTCTGAGAGCTCTGGAAATGCATCAGGGACATCTGGCATCTTGTAACCGAAACCATTTTGGTTTATCTAGAGAGAGTTTGAAATGGTATTGAATTTCAGCCATCTTTTCGACTGATTCTGTTTTCATCATCACATCTTCATCTTCACACTGTACACTGCTCTTACTCTTCACTCTGCCTGCTTTCTTTACTGTATTTTTTTTTCAGTGTACCTTTATAGATATTGAGTTACTGGCTTTTTGGGGGGGGCAGGGGGTAGGGGTCACGTGAGTACCCTGTTCAGTCTCTTGGGCCAGTACAGGCTGTAATATAAATCTCAAGTCTCTCTGTGACAAGTGTGGCAAATTATCTGTGGATTTCATTGAAATATATTAATACATTTCTCTTAAATGAAAAGAATTACGTATCAAAGAACACTAAGCTGACAAAGTCTACAGAATTATAAAACTAAGCTCAATGGGACAGTAGGGTAGATAAGTAATAGCGTATCCATCATTTAAATATAGATGACTTTAAAACTGAAGACTAATGCCCCGGCTGGTGTGGCTCAGTGGACTGAGCACTAGCCTGTGAACCAAAAGGTTGCCAGTTCAATACCCAGTCAGGGCACATGCTTGGGTTGCAGGCGAGGTCCCGAGTTGGGAACACAGGCAACCAATTGATGTTTTTCTCCTTTCTCCCTTCCCCTTTACCTAAAAATAAACAAAATCTTTAAAAGTATCAGACTTTAAAACTGAAGACTCATGAAAAGTTCTCTGTCATTTTGTTTATGCTTCTAACTGTAGTTTGTGCATAATATTTATTAATACGATGACGAATGATTTTGGAAAGCAACGTCCATTTGGGTCTATATTCTAAATTACCACAAACACTAAAGTTGGGTGATATTCACTAAGGGTTAAAAATGAAGGTTTTAAATCCCTTTTTATATTAAATGCTAAATATCAGTCTTCACCCCAGTAACATCCCACATGACAAGTTACCAGCTTAATTAGGGACCACACAACATTTTACACTAATGGGACACTTGAGCAATCAGTATGCTGTTGCTACTCTACAATCTGCTTCTCCTACAGGATTGGATGGTTTCTTGAGCCTTTGCTAAGGCCTACATGACAGAACACCAGAGATCTTTTTATAGGCAGTTTTACAAACACATGGTCCAGTTTATGCCTCCATGCCTTTGTTAATGCTGCTGCCTCTTCACAGAGGTTATAATGCTTTATGTAACCACTTGTCATTCTGGCAAATCCATTACCATGTATCAGAACATAAATTCATTCACTTTCATCTGCCTCATTTTAACCGAGCACCTAATATCTGCACTGGGCAGGGTCTCACATTTTCCCTTCTTCTACCTTGGTCCCTGGGGGCACTGACCATTCCTTTAAATGCATCTTCACCATAACTCCAGACCATGTCTTCTACTCTATTGGATGTTTCTTATTTATAATTATTTCATTATATGTTGGTGACTTGCTGACTTTGTTAACTGAGTTGAAAATGTGATTAAATAATCTTTTGTGCCTAACTTAGTGGCTGGCACAAGGAGACATATAATAAATGTTTGTTAATTAAATTAGTGTCTCAAAGGTACAGACTTTAGCTAACTGAAGACACCAACCTGTGCTGCAGTGTCTGTGGTAGGAACGGGTAACGGCAGATTCGAAAGTACGCCAAATGAAGGAGCCGCAGGTTTGGCTGCTGTATGACTTGTCGTTGATGAAGAAACGGTGTCAGCAACAGATAAAGAGCTGACAGTCCTGTTAGCTTCTTGTGGGGGATACGGAGGAAGAAATGGAAAACCCTGAGAGGCATAAGGAGGCATCCCACCTGGGTTACTGTATAGGCTAAAGATAAAGAGAAACATCAGATTAGAGTTTAGGGGTAAATTTGTAAAATTATTCCTAAATTGTTCTAACAATGGTCATAAGTTATAGATGGAATACTTTTATACCAGGTAACACTAGTTATATAACCAAGTAAAATATTATATAAATTGATAAATTATGAACCACCCCCAATTTTTGGTTTCCATGAAAAAGAAACATGTTTTAGAAACATACAATTCAACTTTGCAAATTCCACTGGTATCAACTGATGTTTTCACAGAGAGAATGGTAACATTTAATCCTGAAAATTTACTCAAGTGGAGGGTGACCCAACATGATCGAAAGTTCAGAATGACTTTCTAAAACTTCTGAAGGGCACGTAAATGCACAGATGAGCTGCTAAAAATGTTACAATAGAAAAAACAAGATGCACACATAAAACAAGTGATTGCTGGAAAAAGAAGTACGGAAGTATGTACTTGGGATTTAATCAGAAAACAATGTTTATTTTTGTAAGATAATAATACGGGTTTTAGTTCAAGATGGTGATGTAGGAAGATCCTGAACACACTGAATCTTCGAGCTCCAAGCGGAACAATTTCCTCTGAAAGAAACCCTAAAAGCTAGCTCAGCGACAGCTACACCCCAGGTGACTAAGAAAAAGCACACACTGAAGTGGGCAGGAGAGGATGAGCTACGATCTCGCCATAAATCGCCCCGCGGCAGGGCGACCTGCAATGGGCAGGGAACTCAAAACCCACAATTTCTCCCCGAGGAGCAAAGGGTGGGAACCCTACACTGGGCTCAGCTTTTAAGACCAGCCCTGAAAGACGAGCCCCCTGGTCACCAGCTGTGAAAACCAGTGGGACTCGCGTCCACGAGCTCCCCAGGCTACAGCAAACTGAGAAACAGCTTTTCAAGGGCTCGCATCTGGTATACCCTGTTTTTGTGACTGCTGCTCAGGAGACGCCCTCTGACTGCCTGGCTCTGGGGGCCAGAGGAGCTGGGGGTCCTGGGCCCAGTGGGACGGCCACGGTCACAGAGATGGGTCTTGGCAGACTACCATCCCTGTGGCCCTGTGCAGACAGCAGAAAGAACCCCCCCTCCCCGCCGCGTCTTTCTATGAAAGAGGCCTGCCTGCTTGTGCAGGAGCTTTGGCCTGGCGGGCAGGTTCCAGGTCTGGTGCGCTTCCAGAGGCCGACAAAGGTGCTGTCGGGGACCACAGCTGGCGGCTGCCGTCTTTGCACGTTCCCCTTGCCTCTGCACAGCCCCCTCCAAGTCCCAGAAAGCAGCTTCCACATTCATCTGGAGCCTGACTTTTGAGACTGTCTCCGAGGGGACACCTCCAATCACCTGGATCTAGTGGCCAGGGCAACTGAAGCGTGTGTTGCACAGGACTGTATATATCTGCATAAGCTGAAGGTTCTGAAGCCATGAAGAAGTGCTTTATAGGTTACCGACATGGAAAGCTCTCCAAACCAGACCATTTAGTGGGTGCAGGTGTGTGTGTGGTGGTGGTGGTGGGGGGGGGGAGGCATGTTACCATTTGTGCAAAAAGTGAGGGAATAAAATACTGCACGAATGTATTTCTTTATATATGCATGAAATCTCTCTATATTTTGACTGCTATTCATGTTCGCATGAATTCTATACATTCACAGCCAAACAAACAACTTTGGACACCAATGAGAAGGAGAACTAAGTTGCAAGGGAAATAAAAGTGGCAGGGTGACTTTTTACCTCATACTCCTTTATACATTCTAAATTTTACTCTAAATGACTATATTATATTAAAAAATTAAGTTAAAATGTTTTCTAATGAGCTTGTTTATTTCAAAGAGGCTCTCATCTTTATCTTAAAAATTTACTTTTATCTATAGATATATAAGTGATATATATGTAGATATAACATAAGTTATTTAAAACAATATGATCAGCATGAGAAAATATCTGCACTTATCCTTGAATTACTCTCAATATTTCTGAACCAATTTGCTTTATTTTGACCTTGTAGCATAGATGTATCAAACCTGCTTTTCAGTAACGTGCACTTTATTGTAGAACTTATTTGGAACAACAAGTAACCCTGCTGGCTTCCACTTTCAGATAAAGTGAATGTGTTAATATCCAGCCCCATCCTGAGAGAAGACAGGAGATGCAGTTTTTAGATGAAGAATACTCGCGAGTGCGCGCTCTGGCAGCACAGACGCTAAAACTGGAATAATACAGAGAAGATTCGCACGGCTCCTGCGCAAGGATGATGAGCAAGTTGTGAAGCGTTCCATATTTTTTTTGAAAATGAAAAGATAAAGTGAACAAAAATATGAGGGAGGCCCATGACTCTCGGACACAGACACAAGAGGCGAAGATGAGGGCTGGGGCTGGTGTGGCCAGTGGACCTGATGATCTAGCTATGCAGATGTCCAGGCATTTTTGAAGATGCCTTGACTTGTGAGCAGGAAAAAGTTCTTTAAAGTTAAATAGGAGGACTGGGCAAAAAATTCAAGAAGTATTCTGGAAAGAAAGAAAAAAACACGACGTTGCACCGCCATGCAGCTCCAGAACATTACAGACAAAAACATGCTACAAAGATCAGAAATCTAAATGGCACTGGACATCTTAGCACCAACAGCTATATGTAAACAGTTCTGAGTGGGAAACCACATCAACTTAGATACTGACCTGTACCAATTACTAAGTATTTACAGATTTCCAAAAATGTCTCAAAACGTACAGGCCTCCAAATGTCCATGTTGTATCTTATAGAAATGTTCGCAGCATTATTACGGGTCCCATCTGCTCTTGCAGAACCACTCACCACTATCTTTCACTCCACCACTATCATGAGGAAAAGCCTGTTTTCCTCCCCTTGAACTTGGCTGAGATTTTGCAATTGTCCCAGAAAATCAAATGTAAGCAGAAGTGAAAGACTTCACGCAACTACTTCATTATGACTTTCTCATAGGTGTCTCCCAGGATGCTCACGCTAGAAAACCAGCCACTACGCTATGAGAAAGCCCAGGACACAGTGACCACGTCTAGTCACCCCAGCTGACATGGGCAGCCAAGGCCTCTGATAAGGGCCCACTCACAATAAGCAGAGGAGGCAAGGGCTTGCTCTGATGCCCCCTTCCTGAACTGAAGATTAGAGAGAACAACAAACATATTTATTATTTTCATTGTGTCCATAATTTTGTGGCTAATTTGTTACAAAGCCTTAGTAACAAGAAAAGATTTTAGCACCTGGAAGTGGAATGCCTCTATGAAAAAAAAAAAAAATTCTAAAACATGGGAGTGGCTTTGCGGCCAACCAGAGGTGAAAGCCAGATGTACCCTCAGGAGAGTGTAAAAGACTGTTAGGCAGGAAAACTGAAAAAGATCTAAGAAAACAAAACCAGTGGAAAATGCAACTAAAATTAACTCCAGAAAGAGCAAAACGCTGTAACAGGGAAATGTTAATTAAAATAAAGTATTTGGTTCAGAAACAGTAAATTTGTAGAGTCAAAGTAATAAAAACACCAAAAATAAATGTAAGTGAAAATCATGATATAATTTCACTGAGAGGATAAGGAGAAAGGAAGGTTTGTGAAAGATAACTATTACTAAAGCCCTCATTAATCACAAAAGGAAGTCAACAGGTAATATCTAAAATAATAGGATAAAGAGACAGCAGTATATATATATATATTATTGATTAAGATGAAGGTAAATATCAGAGAAGCAGATAAAAGAAGAACAACGTTGCCTCTGAAAAGTATAAATATGTTTTTGTGATGATGGGGATGTAGAAAACAGAAGTGTTTTTTAACATTATGTGGATTTTAAACTACATTCTGATTAATTTGATTAAACTAAAGATATACAAACATTTGTTATAAACATACTTACTATGGAAATGCTGTTGAAGTAGGAGCTAAAACTGGAGGATTCTTCCAAAACTCATCCAGCAGACTCTGAATGATTTTCCCGAGATCTGAGTGCATTGTAAACTGAAAACAACCGCAATATGGGATGATCAAAATCACTTTCAGAAAAAGATGACAGGGTCTCATTAGCATGACTTCACTCTAAAACTTAGTATTAAATCCATTTTTGCAAGTACAGAATTAAATAAAAAGCAAAGGATGTTGTGTCGAGTAAACATATTAGCAATCCACAACTTACAATTTTTTCTGATAAAATCAATACCATAAATCAGGTTAAAAGTCTATTTAATCAATGATGGAGCTGAAACATTCCCACACTTCACTATTTATAATAATTGGAAGGTTCAAAGGTAAATACTGAGAGTACATTGTTACGTCCCTCACGCTAATCAATCACACGTGTATCCTGAGAACTTCGGTTCACATCTGAGTTTTATCACTTCTTCCGAACAACTAGGGACGACCTACTGGGAACCGAAGTTCTAAGACCAACAGGTCTGCACCACTGAAAAACCACCTCCGAGTTGGTACTGTCACAGTGGAAACTTTTTTTAAATCACTGATTCCAGAATGAGATTTTAAGTGCATTTTAGATTTCTAAAATAGTTAGTAGAAAAGTAATACACCTGTTAATAAATATACCATAAACATACATTGTTTACTAATGGAGAGGTAACATATACTCCTTGTTTATCCATTAAATGATGTCGTATTGGTGGATAAACACTGATCACTGGTTTTTCCTGAGGAAATTGTGGAGGAAGCAATCTGGTAAAGGTAGAACAGATGAAAAACAAAAACAAAGACAACAAATGTTACATTATATAGTAAAAATCCTAAAACAAAGTTAGCTAAAGCAAATTAAATTTTCATACGTTCATTTGGATTAATTACTCATTAATAAGTGCTCTATTATGGTTGTTGAGATGACTGAAAATACGCAAAAGGATATACAAGTAATTCCATAGAGTAAAACCTTCTTAATGTGAAATACGGATACCCTGAATTATAGAATGTGTGTCACACTGTGACTGTTAACTGCTTTCACATACAATGCACCAAACTACACAAATCTCCACTGCAAATCAGAGCAGGCATTTTTTGTAGCAGATGGGCCATGTTAACCCACCTGCTTCATTACTGGACCACAGGTCTGGCCATATTATTTTTTTACCTGTGGTTTGCCTACTTTTGAAAGGCTGCCAAAAATTATTTCACTATCTATTGAATTTTTAAAGAGTAAATGGAAAGTACTAGAAACGAAACACTGTAGTTGTCATAATGCCTTACATCTTTATGGCTCTTTTCCAAACGTCCCAATGAACACATCTCTCCCGATTTTGAGGTCAATCACATGGTTTAAAATAAAACAGTAGATTTCAACACGAAAAGTGAAAATCCTTTTTTGAACAATTACAAATTTAAGATTAGGGAGCGAAGTCTTAAAAAATGGGATTTTAGGGGCTCTGAAACTGTTTTCCAAATCTCTAAAACTCGGAAGAATATGTCCCTTTAAATGGCCCCTCTGTTCCCCTGGTGGCCCAGAAAACTATTTATTGGCACAATGTGAAGAAGAAAGCTGGGTCCTCGATGGCTTCTCTTACTAAGCTGCACATAGGACATTTGAACAGAAATACAACTACTTAACTCATGGAGTTGAGTAGTAAAAAAGTTTTGGTAAAAAAGGCAATGAACGGCCCTGGGGGCCCAACCAATCTGGATTTGTGTCCTGGCTATGCGATCACTACTTACGTGTCTACAATTTGCCCTCATCTGCTACTGTGAGGACTCAAAAAGCTGCTATGTGTGAAGACAACACAGCACAATGCTTGGCACTGATACACAGTCGTGCTTTCGTCCACTCACTCCTCCAGGCCTTAGAAAGGCCCGGTGTGAGACCCCATGCTCAGCAATGAGGACGTGGAGAGGGATGAGCCATGGTTCCTGCCTCCCGGGCAGGCGCCTCCTCGCCTCACCCCACCCCTGGCTCTAAAAGGCTGCCACCCGATGCCATCTGCGGTCAGAAGGCAATTCTTTCAGACTGAAGACTAGTAACTGCACTTACGGTTGAATGGGAACTTCAGCAATCACTCTGTCCAACTCTCCTCTTTATAACTTAGTAACCTCGTAATTGTATTTTTAACTTGCAGTTGTTTTTTCTTTAACAGTAACCAGTAGATCAAATTCAGCCTTGAACATTCTGACTGACGCAGCTCATGTTTCTGAAAACCAGTATATTTTAAATTCCTTCACATGTAAAGCTGAATATACCTCGAATGGTTTTCCATGCATGATCCCTTTCATCGATTGTTATTATTATTCTTACTCTTTCAGCCTACCTCCAGCTAGGACTTTAGTACAAATTAATGAAACTGATCACAGTATTAACAAGTATTATTACACCTGTTTATCGCATTTCCTCTTTTATAGTTCTTTCTTACAGCAATACACAAAATGTTCATTTCACAATATTATGTAACTTTGATAAATTATAGTTAAAAAGGTTCACTTTAAAGAGCTTATTTCTAACAATAACTAAGAAACAAAACAACAAAAACACGTTTTTTAGTCATGTCACATAGAACAACAGGGTACAACTCTACTCACATATTAATGTTTATTGTCAGGTTGTTGACGGTGAAGGGCAACCTGTATTCCACATCTTTCTGAATCTCAGCTATACTGTGGGAGGAAATGCACCTGAGGTTATGAAGCCATTCATACTGAAGACAAATGTTAAATGCTTTTAGAGACTACCAAAACTGTTCTTAACTTGAATCAGACTCTAGATGGCCCATATAACTTGTATTTTGAGGGGAAAATGATCACAGAAAGGTTTATCAAATAAGAGGTGATAATATTCTGAAACACCCAGCTGCGTGAGTGTGGGGTGGAGGGACAGATGTTGAGGCAAAGAGCAAAGAGGCCAAGAATAACCCTTGTTGGGCTGACTTACTGTCACTTTCTCCAATTCATTATTAGCAGAAGCAATCGTGAACCCTCTGGTTAACACAGGTCAGCACGACATCCGGGTTCTGACTACGACCCTGACGCCAGCCAGCTGTACTTAAAAGTCTGGATGAGCAGTCTCCCGCGGTCTCAGGATGGAGACTGCTGGCTATTTCCAAGACCAGATTACCCCCCTTCTTCCAAAGACAGGCCCGCTTTTATTCTGAACAGCAATGCTCTAGTCTTTCTTGCAGCTGGTTGTTGCCATAGACTTAAGTGCCAGCCGATAAGATAGAGAAAAGCTGAAGCTGGGAACTAGAATTTCCAGAAGAGCACCTTAAAGGGGAACGAGAATCTGGTGAGGGTCTATTTGCCCTTCCTTCCTGGACCTGACAGCTGGACCTCAGACCGAGGCTCTATGGAGGCACCGGTGGCCCTGAGAACGAAGGCAGGCACCAGGGGAACTGAGCAGACAGAAAGAAGCAGCGTGGTCCTTGATGACTTGGAAATGTTAAACTGAGTTTCTTTTCCTGTGGGAGAAAAACTCTTATTGTGAGTAAGTCACTGTTTTGGGGGTCTTTGTTACTAGCAGCTAAACATAATTGCCAATTACTCTAAGTCCCTTATATTTTAACATTCTACACTCAGAATTTTATTTTATTAATTAGAAGGCACACATTATTACAATTATAATTTGCCAACCAAATATGGGGAGGCTCCCATGGAGTTCTAACCAACATTCATAACATTTCCAAAGGGAAAAATGGTAAATAGTATTAATGAGTCATGATTGAAAGTTTAATATTCAAATGGACATAAACTTATTCAAGAATGAATACCTTTAAAGAGGTCTAGCATTTAACATTAGTAACTTTTTGTTGTTTTGGTTGCTTCAACTAATAGCTGTAGAAAACCTCCTTTTCTTCATTTTTTGAACTACTACATTTTTTGGCCTTTTGATAAAAACCTAGCCTCTACAATATATAAATTTTAGGTAGTATGAAAGGTTCAAAAGTGTTGAGACAGAGTTTTAGAGAAATTGTAGATGTTGATAAGCTTTCTCCCCTGACATCCACCGAATGGGGCCACGACCAAAGAGAAGAAACAAGTAACAAGAGACTCAAGATGAGAGCCAACATTGGAATTTAACAAAAATTTTATGAACGCTTCTCTCTGGGGATCAGGTCTGGACAGGGATACTGACAGCATCCTCAATTGCACGAATACCGTGTCATCGACACCGTTTTTACTAACACCCTAACTCACCATCATATTCCTCCGCCACCCTCTCCCCTCAACAAAGCTGGCCTAACATCCTCAAGTTTGTTTCTCTGGGTCTTCGCTTCCTTCTGAAGGTTCCTGTGTCAGGTATAATTTACATGACAAAAATCTGTGTGCTTTTCTCTTGTGAATCTGTCAGTTTAATTTTCAGACCCAGCCAGAGTCTCTAAGTGTCTAGGAAAACTTTGTCCTCCCCTATATTAGCTGCATTAGACAAAATGGAGATATTTGTTCTACTTATGTAATCCAAGAATCATTCCCTTAATATTCATCACAAATGTGATTTTGAAGTTCTTGCTATTTTTAATAACTTTTAAAAAACTTACTTTTAAAAGAATTCAGTCTCATTGAAAAAGAACAAGCAAAGAGAATGTCAACATGAGAAATGCCCAAACCTTCACAAAATGTTGTAAGAACTTACTTGAGCACAGACTGATGGCAGTTACTGGAAAGCAAGATCTCAGATGCTGGGACATGACAGTTTTGTAGCTTGACTTATGCATTTGAAATTAAGGAGGGAACACAAGGGAGATTACACGGAAGTGGGAGAAAGCCAGGTGGGGACTGGATTACAGACAGTTAAGGTTATGTGCTCTCTTGAGGGGGGTTATACTTATTTCAAAGGTGTGTTAACCTCAAATATGAAAATAATGGATAGGTCTTGCTTAAGGCAAAGATAAGCCTTTTACTAAACAGTTATATAGGTCCAGGGCATGACTACATATGATGACCTGTCCAGTTAGGGATTTATGATCAGACTACCCTGTGGGGTTAGTTTCATAGAACCCCTTTTTCACCCACAAGAATATAAATGTCATTCAGGATCTCATATCCCCAAAGTAACCACTGCCAACACATTGGTATACAACCTTCTAATCATCTTTCTGTATTCACAGTCTTATTTAAAACAAAAATATAATTCTACCACATATACAGTTTGGTGACTTGCTCCTTTCCCACAGTAATTTATTGTAATTACCTTTCTAAATCAGTAAGTGTAATTTTACAGTATCTTTTTAAAATTTTTAAAAATATTATTAGCATAACAGTCTAGTATATTGTTCAACCTATTGTCTACTTTTAGAAATTTAGATTGTTTCCGATTTCTGTAGAAGGCATTATTAACAGGCAGCAGGGGAGAGGAAGCTGTGGCTGGAGTTCACTAGCAATGGAGAAATGACTGCCTATATGGTAACTTTTTTTTTTAAAGGTAGGTACTGACTGAGACCACGAAGGGGAAATTAGCTAGAGAGCACTGGAGCTGTTGAGATACTATTTAGGAAACTTTTTTCTTAAATGGTAGCATGCTTTATTGTGTTATATACTCCACAATTATAACTTTTAATCACTGGTTATAAATGGACTATATGATTTAATGTATCAAATCAAAACAGGACTTAACAAATTAAAACAGTCACTTAATAACAGGACCGTTTGGTATATATAATTTTAAAGTTTTCTATGAGCTCAATATCCACTTTTAGAGTCAAAATGTTGACATTTTGTAGATTTCTATAGCTTCAATAGGCTAAGGCATAGCAGATTCTTGGATCTTTTTATTGCAACAAGGAGACTTCCTTCCATGAGGAAGTTTTAATCTCAGATACCTATAGCGGTCAGCTAATGCACGTGAATGAACTAATGCACGTGAATGAAGGCAGCTGCTTGCAGTACAGCAGGGAGCTGACTGCAGACTGGTAACAGGGAGAAGAGGCTGCCCGCCCATAAAAGGAACAGCTCCTCTTCAGCTCTAGGCTAATGTTGCTATGTGGAAACAGCTGCCAAATCTTTCCAGATCTTTCTAGTTTAAAAGAAATGTTGGAGAGGGGAAGGGCCATATCGGCATCTCTGTACCTGCTGCTCAATTTTGCTGTGAATCTGAAATTGCTCTATACAGTAAAGACTTTAAAAAAAATTGGAAGTTTGGAAACTTGAATGAAAAAAAATCTCAAATTATAAATGTTGACAATGGTACTCAGGGATTTGCAGCAAAAGAAAATCTCTAAACAACTTTTAAAGACTATGAAGATTGGCACTAGTGTTTTAAAAATATAAACTAAAAATAACTGCAATGTACTATCTACCATGTGCCAAATGATATTCTAGATTCTTTATGTGTGCTATATTTCACATTCTTTAGAAGGGGCACATTGCCTTTGTGTAGAAACTCTCTGGAAGGGACTTGTTTTCTGGATGGAAAGTCACAAGTAGTCCTGCCAGAGACACATGAGCTATAGGTAGACTTGTGAAGGATTCCTGACCAACAAGCTAGGGCTAAGAGGCAATGAGCATGCAGGCTAAGAGGCAAAGGTTATGGGCACACTGATTCTATGCAGTGGGGAAAGGAATGTAATTTGTCATTTGCTTACTATGTGCCAGACACAGTAACACCTGATTACACATATTAAGTATCACTTGTCCTGCATGACAGGAATCACGATTCCTAAATTCTATAGAAGGAGGCTCAGAAAAGTTGAGTAGCTTGCCAAGTGGTCCTATTGCTGGAACATAGTATATGTTCGAGCCAGAACTGGAATCCGTGACAGTCTGGTTACAAAGTTTTCATTCACCTGAAGTCAAGCTGCTTTTCCCAGGTCAATAATTTTTGCTTACTTCCACTTATGTTGCTCCAATTGATTGTCTTTTATCTCTAATAGAATGTTCACATCAAGAGACTCTAGGAACCAGCAGACTTTTGAAGTTGTCAGGGCAGTAAGAATTCAAACAGTCAGTCCTCTCACTAAGGTTATGGGTTATGTGAACATCCAAGTTTGCACTGCCAGTTAATGACACATCAGTGTCTCCTGACTTTAGGTACAGGGCTTCTTCCATTAAAACTATTAGTCATACCAGTGGAAGGAAAAAGAAAAAAGAAAAAGCAATTCTGGTAAGTGTAATTCCTGAATTAGATTTTCTTAATGAAAATGAAAGTAGCACCAGAATCACTATGTATTTGATTGTTAAAATGAATGCAGAAGTCCTTCACTTGAGATAGCTGATATCCCAAAGCAAAAGGTAATAAAAATGATTACCACTTATATAACTTTGAATTTACATATTTAATTACAGGTAATAATTACCATTTACAACATAGCTATGGTTTTAGAACTAAGGAAATAAAATAAAAATAAAGCGAGATAATTAACTTCAGATATTGAAAGAGGAGAAATTAGGATAGAATGGTGACCGTTAAGGACCATCAGTTTTTAGTATTTTCTGATTGCAGGTAAAATGGAGGCAAACACTTAACAGCTTCACTCCTGAAGAGCCTTTAAATACTGGGATTAGTGGGTATCACTTGGGATATTTTCAACTACTGTACAGCAGTTGAAAAATCAGGCTGAACGTGGCTTACACAGTAAGAGGTTATTAATCTCATACAGGGAGAAGTCCCGAGGCAGGAAGTTCCCAGAACTGGGTCATTCAGCATCACAATATTATCACGGACATCATGGCTTCCTACTCTGCCACATTTAGTAGTTAGCCTGTCTTCCTTCCCTGATCCAAGCAGTTTGAGATGTGCCAGGTAACAGTGCAATATCCGAAACATAAGAGGCATTTCATTTTGGACATCTCTGTTACTGAGGAAACGCTGTGAACAGCCCGCTCCCCAGCAGACTTCTGCTCCAGCTCCCACTTTCACAATGACTAGCCGGAGGAATGACAGCATCGTCAGGGCATAAACAACCCTTATTTACTTACTGGGGTTGAAAGAGCACAGCCTCCAGTAAGTACCGGGCCTTGCAGATAGGGAACCCAGACAAAAACAGGTGTTCTTCCAAGAAGCCAGGGACAACGTGGGTTTGGGGGGCGGGGCTGGGGGAACACAACAGCGTGCCTTCCAGGGAGCTTCTTTAGAGAGTGGGAAGAACAGCAGAGTGGTTCTACCCCTGCCCAGAGGCTGGGAATTGCCTGTGGTAAGACCATCACTGGGTGATTGTTACTCAGCGGTGGAATATATTAGTTGAGCCCAGTCTACATAACTTTCAATTTCCATTTTCACGGCAGAACATGTTACTATGCTTTGGTTAAATAGTTTCCCATCTGCCTGCCTGAATCAGTAAGACTTAGATGAGGAAATACACATAAAACTCACCTAACCTTTAGGAGAGGCCTGAGGGAGATGAGGAAGAATATGGTAACAAAAAAAGTTTACACCCACAGAGAAACAGGATCTTCCCTACAATAATTTTTTCTGAATTATGAAGAGTTAAAAGATGATTAAGAGTTGGAAGGCAGATGAGAGAATGGGGGTGGGGGGTTCTGAAGGAAGGCAGAAAAAAATCAGTCAGATACTTTCACTGTCGGGAAGAGCTGTTGACCCTCCATTTGGTGAAAAGATAGGTATGAAAAATGAGGTGGGCAGTTTAACAGGAAGTTTTGTATTATTCATTAAAATACCATTCAAAATGTGGCAACTTTTGCACAGGCCCCTTCAGACTAACCAGTCACAGTGTCTGTCTACACAAACATCTTAAGCTGTAGTATGCTGCACAGACAGATCATTTTTACTAGCTGCCTTGCAACTATATGTCATGAGTAAAAAGGCAAACAACAAAAATAGGAGGATGTCACTTTTCCTGGAATTATACCATTCTTTGCAAACAGAAAGTACATGACCTATTTAATTGCCTCCTAATTATCCAAGTTTAGTTTCTAAATGTGTAAAATTTCAATAAAGTAAAACCAAGTATCTTATAAAAGAACTTGCAGGAACAAAGAGTACTTCGATGTGTATGGCATTACAAAACATGTAAACAATGTCTCATGCCCAAGTATACGTCCATAATTTCTGGCTCAAAAAATAAATAAAATGGACCGTTTCTACATTTGACTTAAGAGTATTTACTAATCCTCTTAAACCAACTCCACAACTACTTAGATTAATAATTATGAGCCCTGGCTGGCGTAGCTCAGTGGATTGAGTGCAGGCTGCGAACCAGTGTCGCAGGTTCGATTCCCAGTCAGGGTACATGCCTGGGTTGCAGGCCATGACCCCCAGCAACAACACATTGATGTCTGTCTGTCTGTCTGTCTCTCTCCCCCTCCCTCCCTTCCCTCTCTAAAAATAAATAAATAAAATCTTTTAAAAAAAGGAAAATAACTTTGACTTTATAAAAAAAATAATTACAGTTTTAGAATCTCACCGTTTTTGCCCCCCCTCCGCAAAAAATACATTTCAGATCAATCACTTCCTGTATTTACCAGCCCTAGCAGCAAGAGACTTTGGAGTATTTCAAAAATTCAACTCCAACCTTGAAGAATAAAAATTTGCCAGCAGTGAGAATATTTAACAGAATATACTAAAGGCGCAAAAGCAATGAATTCCAAAAGTGTGGTTCTAAAAAGTACTTTGGTAACAGTAGTACTAGTTTAGTATATAAATAGTCTTATAAGGTGACACTTTCTAACTGGACAGACTTTTGTTATGTTTGTTAAAAGTCAGTTGTCTTGTTTTATAAGCATATCTTGTAAGAGAAGCTCTTACAGGTTAGTACAGAACACTTTTTAGAAAAAAGACTTAAAAGAATTCTATGAGTCCAAAAAGAAAGCCACCATTAGGTCAAATAGCACACCACTCCCAGTTAAATATCACAAATTTTCACCTTTTGAAAGTTCTGAACAAGCAGAACAATTAAGGCAAAGAACCAAGAAACATCTGAAGTTCAATTAGCAATAGGCCTCATTTTAGCCAAGCTGATTTTGTGGTGAATATTTCTCTTAACAATCTATTTAATTTAAAACGATCCTACACCATAATTTACTTGCTTGGAAAACAGAGTAACAGATAGAATGGCCCCTAATAGTTTTTCAATGGGACTTATTATTTTAAAAAGGTTAGGGTTGAAGGATGTTAACATCTTTACTTTAGATTATACGCCGTGGCACTGTTAAGGAAATATACTTGCATAATTCATACTATAACATAAAGCGGCAGCACTAATTTTTGAAAACCATTAGAGGCCACATATATTTTCAATATAAAAGGAGCAACAAACAAGCAAAACAGCTGAAATCATTTGAATTGCAAAATATTTCTAATCTGACCAGGATGAAAATGAAAGCCTCACAGGAAGACAACAGAACAATCAGGATGAATATAAGACAATTCCCGAGTGTGGGAACAAGAGTAACAGTGAGAAAGTACAGAGACGGGTAGTTGCCAGAGAGGGAAGGCTGTTGGAACAGGGTCAACCTTAACCTAGAGACTTAAGAGGATTGACGCTGCCACTCCCAGAGAATTCGCTGATGAAAACTGTAGCTTGCCTTTCCTTTGATGTTGCAACAGTTCCTCCCACCCCAAATCTTCCACTCTTTTGAAACTTGGGTATTACTCTTCACAATTCTTTCTAACCAAGTACGTTATTTTAACAATTTGGCCAAAGCGACAATCAGGTGTCCAAAGGGAAAGGATAGCGAAGAAGCAGGGCATGGAGAAGGATACTGGATAAAGACTAAGAGACAGATTACTATCAGCAGCGTGTGTCAGGGCGGATGAACGAGTCAGATCTGTAAGAGCTGAGTGGGGCAAGAGAGGGTGCGGAGGGTCCGGAGGGATATCCTGAACTTGGGTGGGAGACGAGAGAAAGATCGTGGAGATCCAGGACAGTGTAACCAAATGAAGCAGGTAGGGGAGCCGGTCTCGGGAGCTGCGACTGGGACTACCACCAGCCCGCCTTCCCGCCCCGCTCTTTGCGAGGATCGTAGAGGGAGCGAGCAGTCACCTGGAGTGGGAGCTCCGGAGGGACTCGATCAAGCGCTGCTTCTGCTGTTGCAGGCTGGTGAGGCCGCCGGGGGACCCAGCCGCGGAGGAGGAGGCGCTCTTGGTTAGGGGGAAGAGCCAGCTCATCCTCCACGGGTCCCCGGGCCGAGGCCCTGGACGACGGTTGTGGCCTGCTTCTCCCGGCCGCTCAGCCCGGCGGTTCTCCAGCGGCCGACCTTGCAAGGGACCCAAATGCTGGGCGGCTGCGTCTTCTCTAAGCGAGCCCGGCTGGGGGTCCTCGGGTCCTGGGGGACATAACTGGGGGTAGCCGGAGAGAGGGGACCCGCGGCTTGGCACGGGCCGCCCCTCTACCTGCAAGGCCCAGACGCCAAACCGGGCAGTCGGGCAGCCTCACCGCCCAGCGTTTTACCAACCCCAGCTTCCGCCACCTGCGTGCCCCGCCCCTCTGCGTGACGCGTCATCAGCGAGAGCCCCCTCCTGGACGTACGAGCAGCGACGGCGCAGCACGGTGCGGCGCAGCTCCGGCTCCCCTTCCCCCCTTGCTGGGCGAGAGGTGTCTATGGGGCGTCCGCTGCCGCCGCCGCTCCCGCCACCGCCGCTGGGTGCTGTCTCTATGGCGAGGAGGAGGAGGAGAAGCGCGAGCTCAGCGACACAAGTAGATCCTGCGTCTGCCGCAGACTGCGGGGGGAGGGGCGGCTGGGGAAGTGGAAAGGGGGTGGGGACAGCGAACCTGAGAGAGTGCGCGATGGCGCCTGCAGGAGCGCGGCTGGTGAAGCTAGGAGCTGGGTGGCGGGTCTGGGGGGGGGAGCGGGGGGTGGAAACTGGGGCTTGGGGTTTGTCGGGGGGGTGGCGCGGAGTGATGACGTAAAGGCTTTGTACCTGGGGCTTCGGTGAGGTGGGACGAAAATTGGGAGTAGAGGGCGGTGGCCTAGATCCTCCGCTCCTCGTATTCCTCCACGCAGCAGTGCTCGGGAGTCAATCTGGCTCCTGTAGTGGTTATCAGCACCTTCACACTGGCTCTCTGCCAGGGGAGAGAGTTAGCTATGGCTTGAATGTTTCTGTACTGCTCACTCGTTTCTTCGGGAGCCTGCAGTACGGAGATGCTACCTGAAGTACTGAGGTCTCTGATGCCTATTGGCTTTTGGAATTGCAGCAGAAAGAGGTAGAGAAAGGCAATGCTCTGCTGCAGGGTGTTTGCAAAGTGTGTGTGTAGCACAGCGGGGAAGGTTATGAGGAGGGATCTCCTGGATCTTCGGTTTCTGTTCTCAGAGTAGTGGGTTACATGCGGGACTGCTGAGTTTACAAGGGTTGCGGGGAGTTCGTAGTATCTTTTTTCCCCCTTTGTTATGCTTCTTTTTCAAACTGTGAAAAGTGAAGGAGCATTTCCCTGTTCAAGAATCAAAATACTGGTCTTTCCTGTTTTATACCATGAAACCAATTTATATAGTCCAGAAACGTGAGATGTGTGCTTGGTAACCAGGGAAACTGCTCTGATTTTTAGGAAATTAGAAAGAAATCATCAGAAATGTCTTCTTTCTCCTTCCTGCATTTGTTGACATTCAGACAATCTCTGTGTCTGTAACTTACTGCTCAGAAAGTTTTTTTTTAACTTGGTTTAGTTTTGTCCCCTCCAATCAGGCTTACATAAATGTCAGTAAAGGAGATTTTTAAAATCAGATTTTGAATGCTCTGTTAATAAGGAATAAAAGCAAGCAGTACTTCTGTCCTCGCAATATCTGATCTCACATGGGTATTGGTATTTCGCTGTTTTTGTCTGAAAATGGCTGTGTTTACCAATTTTTATTCAAAGAGTGAGCTGGAATTCGGAGCAGTCTTTAATTAGTGAGAAGTGATTAGTATGTACATGTAAAACACAGTGTTTTGACATACCTGATATCAGAACCAGGAGTCCTTTTTTTCCTACTGATTAGCTGTCACTTCCTAAACTTTGATTTTCTCATGAATCAAGGACTTTGAATAAATAATCCCTTTGGTTTCTATCAATTCAGTTATTCTATAGGTCTGGTTTCTGGTATAGCTGGATTTTATTTTGGTTTTTATTTTCACAGGTACACAAATAAAGGATAAAGTATTTTATGAAACAGAATCTTCAATCAAGTATAACATTTTGATGCTTGGCAGCTAGACTCCTTGTGCCCTCACTATGCCAGCAGCAACGGTAGATCATAGCCAAAGAATCTGTGAAGTTTGGGCTTGCAACCTGGATGAAGAGATGAAGAAAATTCGTCAGGTTATTCGAAAATATAATTACGTTGCTATGGTACGCCTATGATCAAATATCCTTAAAATGCTGCTTATTAAAAGGGGAAGGGGGATTTTGAGAGTCTCGAATTCAACCCATATGGTTGATTTTTGTTTTCTTTTAGGGATTAATTTATTCAAAGAAAATTTTGTCTGTGTCCTCTAACCAGGGGTCACTGGGAACACACCTATAATGTGACAAGTTGGGTTTATTACGCACTGGGGTGAGGGAAAATGCAGGCCATTATGGAATGTTGTGTCAGGTGGTTTTAGCTAGGAATTAAGGAAACAGGGCTTTGCTCTGGGTTGGATGTTATCGGGAAGCTTGGGTAATTCTAGGATAGGGTATCTTAGTGAGTCTTAACTACGATAGAATGAGAGAAAACAAGAGTAAGCCCAAAGCTATAGAGCAGCAACAAGTCAGTCATTAACCAAGAAAGAAGGATGTTGGGCATTTTCGTGGTTTGGACAGTGTTTGTGATTTTGTCTGTGCGCAGTCATGATTACAGAGCGGCCTTGTGTGATGTTGAAGTGTGACACTGTTTGTGTGTTCACCAGAAGAACATCAGGACCTGGCTGAGAGTGCCAGGTCAGCTTCTCGCAGGACTTGGGCCCAACTCATAATTCCAGATGGGCTCCCATAAGCTAGGAGGCGTCTGGATGTCTTTCTCAAACAAGAAAATATATCAGCTCTCCCAGTGAAACATTGTTGATCTGCAGTGTTTTGTTTGGTATTTACTTACTTATTTATTTATAAATTATCAGTAGAGTTCCTTGAACACACTGCTGTTAAGCATCTCTGCTTTTGCATGTACTATTCAATCTGCCTAGACTGTTAGTTAACTATTTTGCTTTTTTACTACTGTATCTTGTACATCTGTCATAGCTTCTGTACTATTTTCTAGATAATTAGCTTTGTGAAGCACCTAGCATAACACATAGCATCCAGTGGTTATTGAGTTGGACTGAATGAATCTAAAGAAGTTTTAAAGTCTTTACTGTTTATAGTGAGTTGGTATTTAGACATTGCTTTTGGCTTCCTAATTTGAACTTTAATGCTAAACTAATATATCATTTTCTCATTATTTTTAATACAAGTAAATATGCTTCTATAGAGAAGGACAAGTTGATTCGTTAAAATATGAATATTTGAGTGTACATAGATAATGTTCAATTTAATAATAAAGATGTACTTACTCATAGTTAGAATTTAAATTTTTAATCCAGTAAAAACTGCTAGTGATCACTTATTTCACAGATGAAAAGGAGTGACCGCGGTAGAGAGGCGATGACGTTGTACAGCAGTGATTGGCTGGGGTGCGGTTTCGGAGACAGGGTTTCTCTGGAGTACAGAGAGAGTGCTCTTTTAGCTGAAGAGAGTAGGAGGGCTTGATGTTTGGGTAAACCTTGCCTGAGAAAAGTGATTGGAAAGTAGGGTGCATTTTTCCATTCTTTTTGACCAGTTCTTTATTGATTTTAACATTAGAATAGTTTTACATACCCCTTGAGAAATATCAACTTACGATTTTTTCCTCTTTTTTGGGAATAGAGTACTTGGTTGCATTTATCAGGTGTATCTTATACATAGTAATTTTTTACTGATACAGTATTTAAAGCTAGAAAAACTCATTAGGTTTGTAGAGTTTTGTTTTATGGTTCCAAAAAGCAATGCTCTTCTTCGTTAAAAGGTACTTTGTAATGGAATATGTGTAGAATATTATCTATAATAGGATTGTTTGATTTGTACCAAAAATTGGTTATTTATTCTAGGAATTTGTGGACTGTGGTTTTTAGTAAATAATGAATTTTAAAACTATTTTACAGGACACCGAGTTTCCAGGTGTGGTTGCAAGACCTATTGGAGAATTCAGGAGCAATGCTGACTATCAGTATCAACTATTGCGGTGTAATGTAGACTTGTTAAAGATAATTCAGCTAGGACTGACATTTATGAATGAGCAAGGAGAATACCCTCCAGGAACTTCAACTTGGCAGTTTAATTTTAAATTTAATTTGACGTAAGTGGGAAATAAATATAATTCAAACTTTTTTTTTAGTTTAATTTGGAATTGATTTCCTCAAGTATAGTGAATGAAATTCTAACTGAAAATATAGTATAATTATCCTGAAAATAATTAAAACCTAGTTTCAAAGGTTAGATTTCTTCTTTTTATTATAAGAGAAAAAAATTGAATAAAGAACACTCTTAAATTCATGTGCTTTGAATTTTAGAAACATTACATGAAAAGTATGACTGCCATGGTTTTGTAATTCGGAAAACTTGGGTGTTGAAAATACTTCTTAATAGAAAAAAATAATTAGAACATTAGTTTCACTTTAATAGTTATGCTTCATGTGAAGAGATTTTTGTAACAGTCATATTCCAGTTTATGAGAAGATTGTATGTCAAAGGTGATAAGGTATTTCTTGGAAACTTGGGTGCATGTTCCTTTCAGAGCAATGTTATATAATGGTTACATTCTCAGGTCAGCTCACAAAACGTCTTACAACATGTAGCAGAAGTAATAGTGTCCTTTAACCTGGTGTTTCTTTGAGAAACAGTTCAGAATCGGGCAGATTGTCTTCCAAAATCTGAATTCTAACTCAAGCCCTGGGTCGAAACTCAGTTTCCTTCCTTGTAACCCTTCTCTCTCATGGGTAAGAGTAGTCTTGATAGCTTAGGGAAACGTAGATTGTGTGGGGCAAGGGCTGTTCACAAACCGGCTGTAAGTTGGGGAAACGTTCAGTACGTGCAGAGTTCCGTTGCAGCATTGCAGTGTCCTGTTTGACGTTGTGTACTTGTGTGGTGTTACATTGACCTGAGAAACAGGAAGAGGGGACGTGGACGGTGGTGGTGCCCGTGCACGAACGCCCTGTTCTCTGCAGAGTACTGTGATCTGTAGCATTTACGATGTAAAGAAAAGAGGACTGATAGCTTTACAGGGCAGTGTTGTCAGCGTTGCAATAGTACGGCTTACAATTGCATTCTGTGTAGCCTGACTCCCTGTTTTACTCTGTTGGATTTAAGGAAGTACTTCCTAGTACCTTGTGAGAGCAAAAAAAATACTTGTCTCTATTCAAACTGATGATAACCTTCTGTAAGTACCATAGCTCTGAAATACAGAAAATGGCTTTTATCCTTTTCCCAAAAGAATGTCTTTTAAAATTAACTTCTTTATCATTTCATTTGTTCCATGCTACTTTTTTCTAAACTGGTCATTATTAGACCATTGTTTTTAACTAAAATGCTGTTGTGCTCTCAGGACATAAGTAGGAGGTGACCCATCAGTGTCTCAGTTTTGGTAAAATTGACATTTTTCTTGTCTAGAAACATCTTTGTCCTAAGAGCAACCGCTTTATTATTACAGTCTGTGAAAGACGTTTTTCTTTTATGGAGAGGGCTGCTGTGTATTTGCTCTACCATTTCTACTAGTGTTAACGTTTTGGGAGATGTTTAAGGGGAAGGATATCGTGAAAAATACAATTTAGGTAGAAAAGGTCAGTTGGAGGGTAAAGCTGGTGTTACCTAGTGTGGAGACAGAGGGCTTTGAACACAACGTTGGATATTTAGAAGAAAGATGGACATTCACTCTTCATTACGTGCCAGGAATGAACGTGTCAGCGGCTGGGCTGGGCACCAGGGATAGAGAACTGAGGAAAGGTGGTCACGGTCATTGTGACTCAGTGTTCCCACACCTCTTCTCTCTGTTCCCTGTTTCCAAAGTCCAAGAGTTAGAACGACTGGAAACTGATGGGTTTGTGAACATCATCTCCAAACTGAATCTGGGGTGAGATGTCCGTGAAAATTGAAGTGGGGTACTGATGAGCTGCAAAGAAGAAGAAAAAGCCAGGGGCAGGATTCCACTGATAGGGCAAAAGGGATGAGAGTGAATCCCTTAGAGAGTCTTCAGTTTGGTGATTACAGAGATAAGGGGATTGTGGCTTCTGGGGAAACAGAAAGGAAGACTGCCTTTAGGGAGAGTGGCCGTGCACAGGAGAGGGCCAGGACCATAAGTAGAAGGGACAAAGATGGCTTGTGTTCTTGCTTTACAGGTAATGCACAGGCAGTTGAAGGGTGTGGAAGAGCTGCCGGTCTGGGGGTTGCAGGCTGTTCACAGCCTTCACAGCCTTTGCAGACTGGGGAGCACGTTGGTGTTCTTACCAGTTTGAGTTCGTTAAATGTTCAGTTGAGGAACTGCGTACTTGGAACAGTCTGTATTGCAGTTTACTTACCTCTTCCTCAGGATTTTCAGCGTAATGTTTAAAAAGTAAAAGTGGTGGTGAGCCAGGTGTGCACGGAGTTTGGAGCGTGTTCCTGAATTGTAGAACCTCTGACCTGCATGTTTAAAAACGCGAGTTTGTGTGGCAGGCTCCATTTGCAGTTGTAGGTAGAGGTAATTTCAGTGCATTTACTGAACTTAGCTTCCCTAGTTGAGTTTGTTTATGACTTTAGGATATTATTTAAGATGGACAGTGTTGGACTTTGCTTTTTTGGAAAAATTTTTTTCGAGATTTGTACATGGCTTTCATTTCTGTTCAGTCATCACAACTGGGTGTTTTGTCATCATAAACTTCAGTAGCTGATTAGCATTAGGGGTGATCACATCACAGTTGGTTGCTGTTCTGAACAGATTGATTTTGTCAGGGAGCTAGCCCTGGCACCCACAGCAATTTAATAAGTAAACAATAATAAGGCTACTTATTTGAGATTAGCGTATTTTAATGTTTTCCTACATTTGCTAGGATTTTTTAGGAAGGCAGGGTGGAATGATTTCAGAACTTGCAATGGGCACCATGGAGAAGGGACAGTCTGTTGATTTACAGAATTGAGTCATAACAATTAGGGAGTTTCCCTTACCATGCGGTGCATATTCTTATCAAAGTTGGAGGGTGCCCAGCTTTCTCTTTCTAATTACAGGTATACAATGCATGGAATTCATTCCAAGTTATACAGTATTTAGCACTTTCTTAAGACCCTTTCTTACAAACCCAGTTAAATTTGTTTAATTTTGAAAGACTAATGAAATTGAGTTCATAGTCCAGATTAAAATCTCACCTTTCAACTATTTGGTATGGTTATTTAACGTGTGCATACTTTTCTGAAGTAATGGCCTTTATACTTAAATTGTATTTTCTTTCCATATATGAGAAACATTGAAACAGCTGGACCCTGGCCAATCCTCTGTCTTGTCTGTGGCATTGTAGTTGTGGATATAAGTTGAGAAGAACAGTTTGAAGTATGGCACTTCTGAATGTTGTGTTTCTTCTTCTTCTGCCAGGGAAGACATGTATGCCCAAGACTCTATAGAGCTACTGACAACATCTGGTATCCAGTTTAAAAAGCATGAAGAGGAAGGAATTGAGACCCAGTACTTTGCAGAACTTCTAATGACTTCGGGAGTGGTCCTCTGTGAAGGGGTCAAATGGTTATCATTTCATAGGTAAAAAGATTGCATTGAAAATGGCAAGTGTGTTTTTGCCACACAAAGCCTCACACTGCGACAGTTTTGAGTGAAATGCTTCAATAAAATAAAGATAAATAAATGGGAAAAGGTAGACAAAAAAAGAAAACGGCATATGTGTTACCCTCTCCTGGCTGCTTCACACTCGGCCTGGGTCACTGTTCCGGTACGTTCAGGCCCAGTGCTAGAAGGATCAGCCGCCATGCAGCAGTCTCCTAACTCTTATGAGACTAATGTTGGTCTACTTGAAGGCTAATACTACGGGATCCATTTTTAGCCCGCGAGGGAGACGGCACTGCAGAGTGGAAAGGGTGCAGGCTGGGAAGATGGGCCTGGGCTTACGTGCAGCAATGCCATTTGGAATCTGTTACCTACGGTAATTTAGTATTGCTCAGCCTAAATGAAACCCTTCATTCATTAAGAAATACTATCTACCATATGCCTTGTGCTATTGGAAAATTCTAGGGATTAAGAGATTAACCAAGAAAAAACCCCTAAAATCCTTTTCCTAATGGACTTGACCTTTTGGTGGGAGTAGGCACACGATTTTTCTAAATGATGACATTTGTATTATGGTATGTTGGATGGCAGTAAGTGCTGGGCTGGGGGGGGGGGGCAAAGAAAATGCTAGGGGTTGGTGTGTTGGACAGATCAGTAATAGCATTTAAACCAGTGCTTTACTCGCAGTAAATCCTCAGAAAGCATATTTTAAATTATTTGTTATTATAAAGTAAAACTAGATCGTTGAGGAGAGTTTCTAGTAAAGACATTAGTTTCATTTGTAAAAACAGACTTTGCATAAGAGAAAGAGAAGGCCTATTTAAGTAAACCAAATTAAACTGGCATCCTAGGGACTAAAAGTGGCTTTGGTTATGATTTTGTTTGGCCTTTTTTAAGTGTTGTTTTATGCGGGTGTTAATCTTCTTACACTTGGTCCTCTTCACTCCCCCTCCCCTTAAATAAGAGTCTCCTACATACTTTACCATTTTCAGCTCTGACCCGTGGAATGATTGGAATGAAGCACTGCGTGCTGTGTTGTGAACTCAGATGCGTTGCTGATCAGTGGTTTCTGGGTTGGAGATGCTGAGCGTACTCATTCTCACCTGTCACCTTTTCTTCCCCTCCACTCGAGCCTGTATCTCAGGAAACAAGATTTAGGTCTCTGTTAATTTGAGGAATGTTGAGTTCTTTTTTTTTTTACTTTCCGAATCAGAAGGATAGAAAAGAATGGGAAAGAATTGTCCTGCCCTTGTACTATATATTACATGGTTTTGCATTCAGAAAATATTATAAAGAAATGCTGTATACTACGCATTGGGGATAGTAAGATGAACAAAAACAGAAAGGGTCCATGTCATCTTAGAGTTTAGTCTAGGTCAGACTCCTATATTTGAATACTTCTCACCGTATGTTAAGATTTTATTCTAGAAAATGTCATTAAATATTTTCTTCATACTATAATCTATCTCTAGAAGGTAAATACTAACTTAAGAAATCTGCAAATCCTAAACTCCAATATAATCTCACTTGCACTAGCAGTAAGCAGGTGCTGCACCGACTTACACTGTAGGTCGACAGCCGAGCACTGTCTTGCCAGTCACCAGAAATCTCACGGTTTCTGCTGTTTCCTGTGTATGCCTTGATGTTTCTAGTAGTTTGTAGTGCTAAAGCGTTTTTTTCTCTTTTAGATAAGTAAAATTCCTTATATGTTTTTACTGTATTCTATTACCATTTATCTCTCCTATACTCTCTTCCACCTCCACCTACCCCCACCCAAGGCCCCAGTAGAGGTAAAATTCTGAATTTAAATGGAAATTTTATTTTGTATCTTCCCCAGAAGATAAGTTAATATATCTCATCAAATGTTGCGTACCAACCATGTGCAATAAAGAAAAAATATTTTTTAAAAACGATTTCTGCCCTTTAAGCTAGCAGAGAATACAACACCCGCATTTTGAAGGCTAGTACAAGGAAACAGCTCGTGTAAGAACTCTGGGAGCTGGGCTCTCCAGGGAAGGCACCTGTGAGGGGCCCTTGGCGGAAAGGTGGACAGGAAAGGGGGTGTGACTGTGGCACAGGCGGGTAGGGAGCAGTGAAGCTGTGGGAAAAGCCGGGCGACAGGTGTGGGAGACCTCGGTTTGAGAGGGGCTTCATAGTTTGCTCTCTAGCTAGTTCTTGGCCTTGCCGCCTTCGCTCACTTCATGTGCAGCATCCCCGTTAGTGTCCCCTGGGGAGCCGTCATGAGACAGGCACAGAATTTGGAGAGAAGAGGGTGCTTACTAATAAAGTCAGTTAAAGGAAGTGAGTATGCCTTGGTAGGGAATTTAACTCTTTCGATTGTTGATGTATGTGACTTCTGTTATTTGTAAAAGATGGGAAGATTTGCATTATTTTTGCCTCCAAATGCTGTTTCTCTTGCTACCTTTTGATGTTTTGGCCAACTTTGCATTCATTGTTATTTCTTCATTTCCATAGTTATTTAAATTTTTTAGGCATCTACTTCTCTATGCAGAGGTCAGCAAAATAGCAGTTTAGTGACACAGGCTTGGGGTGGTGCTAGAGGTTTGCGGATTGATACCTGAGGGATGGAGTGACAGCGTCTGTGTAAGATGGCATTTTCCATTATAATCGTGAATGTTTACCTTCTGTTTTTGTGCTTTTATTTATTTATTTTTTTTTGTTGATTCCTTTTTTACCTACAGTGTGACTCGCTTAAAATTTGTACCAGAAAGGTTTTTCATCTCTGTGGTACTTACAGTCCTTCTTCTGTATTCTTTTAACCCTTTTGTAGTGGTTATGACTTTGGCTACTTAATCAAAATCCTGACCAATTCTAACTTGCCTGAAGAAGAACTTGACTTCTTTGAGATCCTTCGATTGTTTTTTCCTGTCATTTATGATGTGAAGTACCTCATGAAGAGCTGCAAAAATCTCAAAGTAAGGTTTCCAGTGGCTTTATCTGTTGAGACTGAATGATTGACATGTAGGGTCCTAAGCTGGGATATTGATTCAGACCATATTTTTGACTTTATATTAAGTACAGTTATATTATCTGGTCATTGATTCTTTTTCTTGCATAAATAATGCTTTCTAGGAAATTATTTTACAAAGTTTTAATATATACTGGCAGAATATGTTTTTGGTCAAGTTCAAACCAAGGATAAGATTTTTGTCATTGCTTGCCAGATTGAAAATGATAAACCAGCACAGGAACTGAGGCTCTCGTGCACAAAAGTCCAAGTCTTCACTCTCCCAACACGCACATAGTCTGTCCGTGCAAGACAGACTCCAGAGTGGCCAGCAGTGTGCACGCACAGTCGGTAGTGTGCAAGTTTCTCCTTCAGCTGATCTTCCCCAGAGATTGTTTTGCTGGGTCTAGTCCTGGGGTCATGCTCGGGGCTCAAATTACAAGGCTGGAGACACTTCCCCTCCCCAGCCCAAAACTGTTGGCCTTTTAGTGATGAGTCTTAGAGTAAATAAAAGTCCTACCTGGACAGTGATTTACGTTCTGACATTGTTTAATATATGTAATAATTTGTTGCTTTTGAACATTGTTTTTGAGAAGTTTCTTCATTAAGGAAAAGTGCCCCTTTAACTTGAGAATGAGTTCACCTGTGATGGCACAGGCTCCAGAGGAACACAGTGGTTTTATTGTCTCAGGTGTGTTTGTGTTGGAGCTGCGACAGAAAAGGAAATTAGGTGAAATGCTTGTTTCATAGAACCTACATCAAGGTTGATCAAGTTTTCTCCTCACTGGATTTTAAAGTACAAATAGTTATTTTAGGAGACAGTAAAAATTTTGAGAATGTTACCTTTAAGCAGAAAGATCTCAAGAATTGGATAGGAAACTTTGCTTTGATAGATGAGCTGAAAATCCTAAGAATCTTTTGGGAAAGTTTTAGGAAAGATTACTTAATGTTCATAGCACCTAAGAGCAGAAGAATTCTGTACAATTTTAGCAGACTTTTAGCTGTGACTCAAGTGAACTTTCAGTAGCATATTCTTACTGCTCTAGAATATCCGTCCACACCCTGAAAGGATTACCTGCTGAGAATCCAAGACCTGAATGTTTTAGTGTAGCTTTGGAGATGCTTTTTAAAGTTGATACTGGTATAATGACAGTTTTTGGAAGCAGAGAACCAAATTACTCCTCGATATGTATGTTTTTGGAAAATTTCTAAGTATATCAGATATTCTAAGTATATCCTGGTGTGATAAAATTTAGGCTCATGGTAAAGGTGCCTTTTGACCTCTAGTTCAGCATACTGAATGACCCACTTCCGTTCTAAGCAGCTGTAAGTGACACCTAAGCCTCATGCTATTTTTAGCACAGAAGCAGCTGCTGTGCACAGCGCTGTTTGAAGCCTGATAAGCGGAAGGGCTGGTTTGCTCGCAGAGGCCCTAACAGGTTAAAGAGGAATGTCTTGGTATTTGTTCTGGTTTTTCTTCCTGGTCTTGCTTTGCTTTCTGTACGTCCTCTTCTCCCATTGTCCCCCATTGTTGTTGTTGTTATTCCCCCCTCGCCATCCTCCCTTTTGCCCTGCCTTCATCTACTCTTTTATTCTTTTCTCTTCCTTCCTTTCACTCTCACCATCTTTCTTTTTTAATCCTGTCATTGATCTAAGCAGACCCTTCTAAGGAAGGAAGTATAAAAACATACTTTTTCTTTTTAACCAGCAAAACCATAGTTGAGCACTTGGTGAATTCTTAAGATTTGATTAGTTGTAATAGCCCTTGTTCTACACAAATTATTTAGATGAAACTATTTCGAGATAGATTACTGAGAAACTTAAGAAAGAGGGAAAGTAACTCCCTGCAGTCAGTTTTACACTAATTGTTCAGTGGATGGACGGACTGTGCGTGCACTCGATAATGTTACCCTGTAGGTACCATGAAAATACTCCTGACTAAAATATTTAATTGAATATCTGTCACTTTGTACCTACCTGCTTGGCTTCCCCCATGCCTTTAAGAAAGTTATTTGCTATCACATACCTTAAAGCATATGATACAAATAAATTTGCCCAATCAAGATCTAATTTTCTATTAACTTACAAACTCCACCCACTTTCAACAGTACATTTGCAATTCTCATTCTGTAGTGTTTTCCAGTCTCCATAAGGTCCACCTGTACATTCAGAAAGTTTCTTTTATATTTTAGTCATTGTCTGAGTTGTGTAACTTGTAAATTCAGGCATTGCAATGTTTCTCTCTTTTGACAGGCAATTTTTCTGTCTTCTAGGGTGGTTTACAGGAAGTTGCCGAACAGTTAGAGCTGGAACGAATAGGACCGCAGCATCAGGCAGGATCTGATTCATTGCTCACAGGAATGGCCTTTTTCAAAATGAGAGAAGTATGAAGACATCTGTGCCTTTTTCTCAGTTGCTAGGTTGAGAACATTAAAAATCTCATGGCAAAGTTTTGGGGCAATAAGTAAAGATATCATTAGGGTACCATATAGGTCATATTTACTGCACTTGAATGAAAGTATTTAAAAGGAAGTTGTCTTGAAATATAGTTCAGAAGGAAATGAAACAAAAAGTTCTTTGAAGACTAAAATACTTAAAGTACCTTAGAAGTCATGTATGTCCAAACATACTGTTCTTAGGTTAGAAAACTGAGGCCAGAGGCTAGTGAGTTTTATCCAAAGTCATGTACGTTGCTAGTGGGAGAACTGCAGACCTCTCTCCATAGACTGTATCAGTGCTGCTCCTGTCAGTTCAGGGAGTCCATCCTTATGTTGTTTCCTCTGGCTTTGTGGTACCTTGGGCACTACAGCGCTGGTAAAAGTGTTACTTGCTCCTTCCCTTCTTCAGTACTGTGAGGATGTGTAGAGTACGACTCCTGCTTTTTAGTAGATGGAGTCTTACCAAGGGGCTTTTGAATTCCAAAGGGGTTCAATAAGATTTGAAGTAGTAATTGAATCAGAAATTGTATTGAGCAGACCCTCCTTAAGTGATAAAAGGCAGAGATAAATTCTTCAAACGTAGAGAAGTTAGGTATGGAAAAACAATTTAATTGGAGCTTTGCTTATAGGTAAAATGCAAAGAAAAACATTTTTTTGTACAAAAACTAAATACAATGGACTTTGGCTAACAAAGAAAGTACTCCTTTTGGGGAAATATTTACTAAATTCTTTTGAGTATATCCTCTTAGTAAAGAATTGACTAAGAAATCGTTTGGAAGTTTAAGACTTTGTACAAATGTATTAATAATAGAAAGTATACTAGCTGTTTGGCCAAGTAGTGTTGATTCAGAAGTGATTTGGACTCTGTTCACGAAAGCAAATAGTTCCCATGTTTTGTACTTCTGTGCAGTCCTGCAGTAGCGAATTAAATAACCTGTTGGAGTTTCAGTTTTGCATTTTAAACATACCCTAATGGTTCAGTTAATGCTGGGTTCTCTGCTACTGATTTGTTACCTTTATTTGTCTTGGCTTCTTCAAGGATAGTAACCGAGTGTGAGCGTTCAGATTTTACTGCCAGAACATGTTTAGGCTTTGACTGTTTCAGCCAACTTAGCCTTGCACGAAGACTCAAGGCCGCTTACCTAAACTGCCCCCACCCCCCACCACCGTTGGCTGTTTTCATGCATCCTTAACTCACGAGTACTGTTAAATTAATGGAGTGAAAATGTCTGCCCTTTTTCCATGGTTACAGATTCTTGTAAAAGTGGTCTAAATATTAAAAGGAAAGATGTGTGTATGCAATTTTTTGTAGTCTCTCTCTGGTTGCCTGAGCTCTGTACTGCTGAGGAGCTCGGCCTTCCTGAACTGGAAGGAGCTCCATAGAAAAGAGCTGTCATTGTAGCTAATGCGCAGGCAGTACTTTCGTTGCTGAAATATACATTACCAGTGGTACCTTCTGGTTAAAATTATCTTTTTTTTTTTTTTCCAAAATTCCTTTTTAGATGTTCTTTGAAGATCATATTGATGATGCCAAATATTGTGGTCATTTGTATGGCCTTGGTTCTGGTTCATCCTATGTACAGAATGGCACAGGGAATGCATATGAAGAGGAAGCCAACAAGCAGTCATGACATGAAATATAGTCCTTTTATTTTTATTTTATTTGAGCGACACACATGCTTGTATATAGGTTTTATCTCTGGTTGAATCTCTCGAACAACAGACAGTACTTTTTTTCCTTTCGTATCCCGTTTTAGTTTTTGTCTTTCAGTACTAAGTGTGACCATCCTATTTCAGAGCCTAACTAGAAAAGCATTCAGGTTAAATTTGGCCTTAATATACGTGTTCGCAGGCGTGTGTGACAGTGGGAAAGCTGCATCATATAAACTTGACCGACTTGAGCTTGGCTTGTGTTCCCCCTTTTCTAAATTAACTAGCACTGACTGTAATTTATTTCCCTGTTTCATGTCTCCCTTCCATTCTGAAGAGTTTTAGCTATTTGAGATTGTGGACCATCAATTTTGCACTTTAGAGAGTGATTCTGACTCAGATCCTCTGTTTTAGCAGAAAATTTTCTTGCTCTTAGCTGGAAAAATGGCCATCTGCCAACTTATAAAGTATTTACTTGTTTTTGACCCGTGAAATATAGCACATGCATTGTGCAAATGGTTGATTCTACAAGACTGCAAAAAAAAGACAAAAACTACTGAGGAGCTTAACAACTGCTGTTTCTGTACGTATTGTTTAATCTTCCAAGCACCTCTGGTGCCTGTCAGTTTCTCATTGGCACGTGCGGCTGCCCAGGGACTGGAGAGCTTTTCACACCTGCTTTCCACCTTCAGGAAAATCCCTCGTTTGTGATCGGGTGTTTATTGTCTGCCGGGAAACTGGTCTCCCAAGATGTCGAAGCTGCAGTTTTATGATAGCACACTTCCCTTATCTGCTTCTTCTTCTTCCATCAGTGTTCACCCTTATTTTAAATTTTTTAAAATTTTATAGCCATACTTACGAGCTCTTGTTGTTGATTCCACAAATCAATTTCATTAAAGTCCAAAGATAGCAAATCTTTAGGTATATTTTGTACCAAATTAAATTAGGAGACAAAAAAATCGTGCTTGCATAGTTGTGACAAAGATAAAGAATGGAGAGATTTGGTGCACAACAATAAAATACAAAAATATATGTGTTAGCTTTGTGTATGTTTATATAATATACACACGGCTAATATATAGCTATTAAAATTACCTGAGGAGTGTAATGTTTGTTTATTTTTTGTGTATATCTTTGCAATCTATTTTATATATATCGACAAAAGAGACTGTGAAATATTTAGCCATACAGAATATGTGACTAGACCAGAGCATGTGTAGGAAGACATTTTGGAAATCATTAATTCTACCCAGAAATTATGGACTACAAGTTATGATGTATGTTACCTGCACTTCAATCAGTAATATTAGCAAATCTCCAAATGTTAGCCAGATTGGTTTGTTCTTGTACATTCGTTATTCATGATGTTACAGTGCTGTAACTGGGTGGTCCTTTTTAAACAAAACATCATTTGCAAAACAGAGGCTATTATTTGTTTTTAAAGCTTTTGTAAATAAAGGCTTCAGAAATGTTTTCATATATATGTTGATGACTGGTAATTTTGTTTTGGAAATATTTATTTGGAGGATTATTTTTTCTAAAGGTTTGGGCAACTGAACAGAACTCGGTAACTTCATTAACTATCACTAATTACTGGAAAATCAGTGTGAGCCTTCTGCATTTCAACAGTGTTGGCTTATTCTTCACGAATACCTCAGCTGGGTCTTGAGAATTGATTGTCTCTGCAGGGATGCGTTTATTCTGAAAGATGTACAAAGTAAATGCACTTGGAGTAACTTAATGTGACTTCTTTTTAAAGCTGATGCAGTATAGCAGATACGGAATTGGTGTCCTTTTATTTTGATCATCACCTCAAAAAAGAAAAGAATGATAAAGATTGCCTTCTGAATAGCCACGTAGTTGCTGAATTTCATAGTTTGTATCAATTTTGGTTTCTGTCTCTAAGCAATATAATATTTTATAACTTCGATAAGAGGAACATTATAACCTTGACTCAGTCTGGCTTGTGGATAAGAGACACTGGGCTGAGCGTTTCTGGTGTTCCCGAGCCATTAATTCTGGGCCCACCATTCTCTGTTAAACCTGCCAGAGCAAGGGCCAGCAACCAAGGCCTGCAGGCCCAAACCAGCCTAACACTTGTTCCGTGTGGCCGGTCGGCGAGAATGGTTTTTACAGTTTAAAAACTGTTGGGAAGAAAATATTTTATGATGTGAAAAGTATATGAAATTTAAACTTCAGTGCCCCTCAGTACAGTGTTGTTGGAGTATAGCCCCCCTCACTCATGTTCTGTGTCCGCGGGCCGCACTGCGGTGGGGAGTGGAGTAGCTGCTGCAGACACTGCCTGTGGCCGGGTCTTCATTTCCCATTTCCCCGCGGTATGCTCCCAAATCAGCGATGTGGGTGCAGGACCTTACAGTATTTTACTGTTCTTTCTGTTACCAGTTCAGACCCATCGTGTCTTAAGAAAAGGATGGTGTGCTTTTAAGGCACGTTGAAATAGGCATTATCTTATCAAATGATACGCTAAAGAACACAACGTATGTTGACATAACCGGGCCAAAGCGTCATCACAGTATTCCTAGCTCACGGGAAAGCAGCATTTAAGAGAACTAGAAATTTTAAAACGGAATAACTCATCACAGCATTTCTTCACACTAACAAAAATGGAAATGCGGCCGCCACCAGAGGGTGCTTCCGGGGGGCCCACCAGGTGGCCGAGCAAAGGCGCTGACTGATGGCGAGGCGCCCCTCATTGCTTCAGGGCGGTAGCCCAGAGAAAGGTGTGCAGAGAGAAGGAAACCTCAGCTTTTCGGTGAGAACAGTTGCTTGAAGAGAGAGGCCACTGGTCACAAAATCAGCAGTTAATTCTAAAACCAGACACATAATTTCCAGTGTTTTTCTCTGGCCCCCAATGAGTCAGTAGTGTCCAGCTCTTATCCGGGAAACCAGCGCCTAGTTTGAGGTGACCGAAGGACCGACTTCCGTTGTATTAATGGTCTTTGTAGAACAACGACAGGTGTGACTTTCGGAGAAGGTGAGGAGCTGGCCACTCAGTGCAGCCTCAAGTGGAGTCCACCCCGATGCGACACGCCTGATGGTGGTGAAAGCACGCGTGGGGCAGAAAGTAGTTGGTTACGTCTAAAAACTCATGAAAATGTACTAAGGTGTGTGGGTTTGGCAGGCACCCATTTCACTTGTGTCGTACACCTTTGTTTTCTTCTGAACAGCAATTAACATTGTTCATTGTTAGCTGGTGTCGTATTACTGCAAAGATCATGTAGAAAGTCAATAAAATCATGATTCCACTCTATCTACGTATGCAGACTTTCCTTCAGTTGCTGCTTATGGCTTCTGGGAGTCCTCCCCATCATCTGCTTCCTGCCAGGTGTAGTTTCTAAAGAGCTTTAAAGTGTATTTGCATGTTATACTAGGACTAGTTATGTCCTAGGACTAGTTAAGGTTTTCTTTAATACACACAAATGTTTGATTAGCCCATTTAAGATGCTTTTAATACGACTGCACATAGTAATAGAAAAAGACATGAAATCTGAACTCTGGCAATAATAGCCTTACTTTCATAGCTGAATTAAAAAAAAAAAACCTGGAGCTTTCTATGGTACTAGTTCTTTAATTCAGCATCAGCACAATTCTACTTTGACAAATCATGATTTTCTCTCAATGTAATTAAGCACCTTTGTCTGTCAGAACAATTAAATAGTAATAAATTGAGGTCAGGATTGAGCTCTGTACACTGTTAAACCTTCCCCGGAAGATGTAACATAAATCATGAAATAGTACTGTCTGTCCTTGATGAGCAGTGAGCTCCTTTATGTAGCTTAACCAGAATTTAAAGTCACTTATCAAAAGGCCCCCTTTGGTTTAATTACTACTCAGAAATAAGTCAAGATGAGTAATCTTAGCCACCCCTGGCCCCACCCCACCCCCACCCCTGCAAACTGCAAACTGCAAACGAAATACCGAAATACTGACTGCTGGCCATGAACAAGAACATCAAAGATCTACCACTGGGCATTTGTCACCAGTTTTGTTTTTCCCATCACTTCAGTGAGAAAAGGCTGCATGTGATTTCAAGTCTATTGGCCATGCCCAGACTCATACTTAATCTTTTTGTTGGTATAAGAACAATTTGCAGGGTGTCAGAGATTGAGCTCTAAGTTAACACAGCTTGATTATGGCAGAGCACCTATACTTACATCCTCTTTTGTTTGAGGATAGAAAAAACCCATTCCAGAGCCTCCTGCTGTGTTGGGAGACGGATACATCCTAACTTTGATCCACAGCAGTTCCTTTGAAACAAGCCTACTTCAAGTCATCCCTTCATTGATGGCCACTGGATACAACCCTATAAAAGAACAACAAATTCATCACGGCAAAGAGAAAAGGTAAGTGCACGCATGGCCTGGACCTTTATGAAGTATAACACGATTTCTTGTGTTCTGTGAAAAAATCGGGTTTTTTGGTAATTTCCAAAGGGAATACAGTGAGGGAACAGACTGCTTAATTTTAAAATCAAAAACTTTAATGTCAGCATGTGTTGAATCCTTTTAATAAGTGACATGAAAAAATTGCTGAAGTGTCAATGAGAGTTAGAATCTGAATTTTTACCAAGATGAGGTTTAAAAAAGTTCTAGTGCTACCAGTGTAAAAGAAGAGCAAGGTGTATGTGGTCTGTTTCCACATGTGAGAGGAAATGTTCAGAACTGGCCAAGTATGTGGAAAAGGAGTGGGAAAGCTTTCTACAGAAGGATCTTACCTAGAGACATCATTTGTGCAAAGCCATTGTCCAGATGTGCCGCTGTGGACAAAACGTTAGATTTAATGTGCAGTCTCCGGGTAGATGGCAGTTATACTGAATCCCTTCTGGTTTACAGGCAAGTGATCTTACTATATTTACCATTTACGTGGTTCATATATGTTTGTGGGTTTTTTTAAAAAAATTCATGCTACTAGAACTATCCCTTTTACAAGTAAATACTTGATAATGTGTGTATACTAAAGTATACTGTATAACTTAAGAATCAGCTCAGCAAGTTTACATGCATATCGATATAGGAAAAATTTGCTAGCTTATAATATAACGGGGTTACCCATTTTTTCATGGGTTCTTTTGAGCCTGAGTCACATAATTACTACTTCAAATTTTTATGAATGTGGTTTACAAACCCTCTGTATTAGATTTTCCTAGTGAAGATAGTTTTGTGGAACATTGGCCATATTTCCAATACTTGCCTGTTGATGACAGTGTGCTCGAGTTTACCGCCCATTTCCAGTGTCCTCAGAATCATTTACTGATGAGTGGTGACCCCATCCTGTCATACACTTCTTCTCAAGAAAAACCTGTGAATTTTGCCGGGAGCAGCTAGCTCTGGTAGACTATTAGGGAAAGTGTACCTGCAGAGCGGTTCAGACCGCCAGTGTGCGGGCAACGCCATACAGACAACGACTGAGGGTGGGCAGCCAGACTTTATTACGTGTGACAGGAGGGCATGTGTGGATCAGCACTTCCCCGGGTGTCTCGTCACTGCATTTAGATGCAGTTTTCCTTTTCCTCTGAAAAAACAAACCCTCTTTCACTAACAATGGCAAATAGTTAACTAATAGGTGCATTTTATAAGTCTGTACAAAATTTAGGTCTATTTGATGTTGCTTTATTCACCCAAGTAAAATTCATTGATACTGCATACCTAATGGGATACGCCGTCTCCCAAAATTATAACCCCGCAACGGAACAAAAAAGCCAACCAAGATTATCCACTGGATGAAACAAAAAGGGAACCATTACAACTTAATGAAAATATTTTATTTTTAAAAATGTTTTCAAATCTGAATCTAGTGTGTATTGACTTACGTATTTCAATAATTACACGAAAGACCTAACGGGGGAAAGAATTAACAGTACTCTAGCAAGGTAAAGAATAAAAATCTCTTTCCCCCTGCTTCTAGTTAGTGTGACAAGAGGGAACACTCACCATCCTGAGCCCCTAGAAACAACTGTAGTGCTTCCTGTGCTTTGAACAACACCTGGCTGCATGTAATTCCTAGCACATCACGTGGTGCTGCTGCTGCCCCTCCGACTCCCAGCAGTATCTGCAGGTCCCAGCCTGGCACTTCAGGTAATGGAAAGTGATGACCCCAAAATGCTTTAAGTTAAAAGTAAAAACACTCCTTATGGAATCTCTTGAAACCGATTGTCAGATTAAAATATTTAGCTTTAAAAATGTTTGGGGAAAAAAACAAACCCCTGCTATCCTACTGTTCAAATTAATTGCTCTTAAATGATCTATAAAATGGACTGGGCTGATATTGGTTCTTCCATTAATTCATTGAATATAAAACATTTTGTATTTTTAGTAAGGAGGAGTAATTGCAAGGATTTCTTATTACTCCATTATCCTCTGGCCTTCTGTTCTGGGTTGAATTTTTCTCTCAGATTTTGAAAAGTTTAATACCATTTTCTCTTTGATTAAATACCAGTTCTTTAGCTATGTAGTTTTAATATCTAATCTGCTTTAAGTTTGGAATATCAGTACCCAGAAACAAAAAGTCCACAGCTTATTCTAATCATGAGCATTTACAACACTTATACTCCAACAAACTAAAAAAGAGTAAATAACACTTTTTTTAAATAGTGCATACAAGGCACAAGAGCTTTTTAGTATATTTACTGAAGCCTGACATTTTGGCATCAACAAACACACCACTTTATCTGAAACTCAACTTCCAAACAGCACCCCGTTATGTTGAACAAAATTTCCCAAAAAAGTATATAATTTTTTATGAATTGCATCATTAATCTTAGTATGAGGAACTATATAGTTTAACTGTCATAACTTTGATGAGAAGACACAGAAGTAATATAATGGAGGATTAATCTATGGACCCATCAGGAATTCTTAACTGAAATTCAGTATTTCCGCTATGTTCAATCAAAGGAAAAAAAATAAAAATAAGTTATAAAAGCCAAACTGGCTAAAGAATATCACAAAATAAACCGATTTTTGTAGTTGTTACAGATTTTCCCCCAATTTATGAAGATTAGAAGAGATGAAAAATACAGGGTCCAGCACAAATAATGCTCCTTTTTTATTACAAAATCTTTTTTTATAAAACCATAAGCATTTAATTCTGTAACATTACAATCACACTCAAGCATACCATATGACATTTTAGGTGATATGTTCAAATTAAAACCATACATTATTACACCCATATTCTTACCCTACCAACCACACTCAAGCAGGCCTTACTTCTGCTGGACCCTGTATATTTCAGATACAATAGAAGTGTATTGATTCTGACAAAATTTTCTAGCCAGTTGCTTATCAGTGAGCTCAAGCTTCAATGATCATACTTATTTTCTAGCAGGGAACAAAAGCTAGAATTAGATTAAAGTCTAGCAAAAAATGGAGATCATCAACTGTAGGTCATTTGGAGTTTGTAATGAATTCACTCAGTCTGAAGATAGATTCGCATCAGAAGGAATAAATAAAGAAGTCTGGCCACCTCCACCTTTTCATAGGTAAGTAACAGGTTTTATGAATATATCTTACAATCATAATGTGACTGGAAATCTTTTAAATCTCAGTACCTTCATCTTAACTTCCTGGATCAGAATTGTGACAAATTATGCTACCCAATTATTTGGGTGAAAACTGGCCCATGAATATGCTCAGTTTTTATGACAGATTATATTTTTGTCCTTGATTCATAAACCATAATCATTTTTAACATTTAACAGGAATCTGCGTTAATTGAAACAGTCTGCATCTTGAATTAAAAATGTGATGTTTCAAGCAACAGCGTGGAGAGAACTCATCCATTCACGTCCTGCGTGTCCAGCCCAAGGGCAATGGGGACGATCGGATCAGCCAGTGGTGCCCGTGGGAAGCCTCTTCCGTCCACCTGCAGCACTGATACCTTGACATGAAAGACAGAAAGCAGGAAACTGTCGTGTTAACTATTTAAAAAGAACTGCAAATGACCAACTCATGCATTCCACAAACACCTCATCTGTTTGTTGCAATAACATCCCTTGTTCGAAATCAAATGTTTTCTACACTAGAAGGCTCAGTAGATGTGTTCTTGAATATAGACCTGCACATCAATGCTTCTCAAACTAGAATGTGCATACACACAGACCAGAGGATCTCCTTGTCAGAATGCAGAAGATGCGGTTTCTGGTTCAGTCGGACTAGAGTAAGGTCCAAAATTCTGCATTTCTATTAAGCTCTCAGGTGAGGCCAGTGAGACTGGTGTGGGACCCCAGCTGGAGTGGCAGAGTTCTTCCATGATACTCATCCTGCACTGGTCTGAGGTCACTAGGCATTTAGGAGTGACAAGGGCATTAGAAAGGGGAAATAAGTTTAAAATATCAAATGCACAGAAGCACAGCTTTCTTTGTCTATAATTTATAAGAGGGAAGGTGGGATAGGCTAAATTTAATCTACACTGGAGCACCACTGTGGGTCTAGGCACGTAAGTATCTGGGACCTATGCTCAGAAATATTTCATTTCTCAGCATGAAAGGCCACAAGTCATTTACTAATGTAGTTCAAAAAGAGAACAACATGAAGATATCATTCAGTAATATAAATTAAGCATATCAACATTAGGTAATGTTCAATATAAATGCATTCAATTAATTGCTAAGTCTGAGATGTAAAGCAGAAAAATGATTAAAAACTTTTTACAATTATTTGGAATATTAGCTACCTTAGGAAAATTCAATCTTCTTAAAGAAATATTTTTCTGTCACTAGTTATATCAACAGAATGAAAAACATTACATCAGAAAATCACTTTTTAAAACAATGTCAAAGAAGCTCATTTGTGCTGTCATTTGGTTATTATGACCATTAATCTCTCATATTCAAATGTAATAACATCAAAGTTTTGTGAGATTTAAAATTTTAACAATGTTATTTTATCACTGCTTCCAAAAGAAATGTTTACTTAGAACCTGTTCTGTGCCTGGCATAGTGCAAAGTGTTGAGAATAATGCTGAACAAATGCAACATTGGTCTTGTGTCAAAACACTGGGATGGCCCTGGCTGGCATAGCTCAGTGGATTGAGTGCGGGCTGCGAACCAAAGTGTCGCAGGTTCGATTCCCAGTCAGGGCACATGCCTGGGTTGCAGGCCACGGCTCCCAGCAACTGCACATTGATGTTTCTCTCTCTCTTTCTCCCTCCCTTCCCTCTAAAAATAAGTAAATAAAATCTTAAGAAAAGAAGGCTTCCTTTAAAAAACCAAACAAAACACCGGGACATCTACATGACATGACATTACTATGTGAACTTGTAAAACACTGAACATGTGACCTCACAAACAGTGATGATTATCACTAATAATTCAAAGTCCTAAAAAAAATCCTGTGAAACTTTACATGCTTTACAGATCTATGTTCTATGAAATATTTATTTGTGGTATTGGTTAGTGATTCATATTTGTTTTTCACAGCTACATTTTCAGAATTATTTTCAGAAATTTGATATCGTCCCTTTGCTATTTGACTATATTAAGATGATCACATTTCTCACTACCCTAACCACAGTTATAATTAAGCAGATCTACCACACCAGCTCATGCAGTCATCCAAAACCAAAACAGTCCCTGCTCAAATGGCCAGATCAGTAGTTTGCTGTTATTAAAAAGCTACTCATGAAAACACAATGAAACAAATTTTAAAAGATTTAATTTTTTTTTGAGGTATTGCCATACTGCTTTCCACAGTGGCTGCACCAGTCTGCATTCCCCCGCAGTGCAGAAGGTTCCCCCTTCTCGACATTCTCGCCAGCGCTCATTGTTTGTTGACTGCAGCCCAAGTGTCCCTCAGTAGATGAGTGGATAAGACAGCTATGGGACAGCCACAGAATGGAATAGTACTCGGCAATAAGAAAATTTTACCCTTTGTGGCAGCATGGATGGACTTGGAGAGCATTATGCTCAGTGAAACAAGCCCCTTACCACACCACATGATTGCACTCATGTGGACTCTATTGAACAAACTGAACTACAAAACAAAACAGAGACAGACTCGTAGGTAGAGAGCAGACTGACAGCTCTGGGCAGGGTGGGGGGGCGGGATGGGCGGGGGAAGGACTGAGCAAACAGGACAGAATTCAGAGTTGTGACTGTGGCACTGGGGATGAGGGAGAGGGCCGTAAAGTAGGTATAAGGTGGATAAATACGGTAATGTAAAAAATTACAATTAAAAAAAATGTTTTGAGGATTAAAGTGGGTTAAAAAAAGGACACACAAATATTACTAAAAACCTCAGACACCCATTAAGTATTTGTACACAAATGATTTTGTTTTAGATGCTACTGTCTCGCTTCTCTTAGACGTTAGTGCTCCAGACAGAAGTGAACAGACTTGTCTGGATAACTGTAATGTTCCACCCTCTGTATTCGTGTTCATTTGTGTGTATTTGTCTAGATGCTCGTGGCTCTGCTCCAAAGGGACTCTTTATTATATTTTTTTTCTATTGACAGCAGGCTTATAAATAGGTTATATATTTAAAAAACTGATTTTGAAGTACTGATTTTTAAAATTATGGTTTAAATAAAGTGGTTTGGAACACCTATTATTTTAAGAGTGGGGTCCTACTGTTACCAAAAATAGGAATGAAAAGGTTTACGCTAATTGGGTGTAATTATCTGTGCTTAGACTTGGTGAGATCCTGCTAATGGAGGGTCAAGGACATGACCACTGTGTATCCTGAAGGATAGAAAAAATTTGCAAAAATCTGTACAGTCCGGCAAAATGGCAAGAGAATTGCCATGTAAACTTCAATATTCTAGGATTCCCCCTTGCCATTTACTGTATTACTATAAAAATGAATTTTGTTCATCTATGTAGATTTAGTTTTATCAGGTTAACCTAAATACTTGCTAATGCTGAAGCTCCGTCCACGTCTAGAAGTCTCCAGCTTGATTACTGCACTCCCCAGGGTCAGCTAAGACATCTTTTAATTTGAATCATGCAGAAATGAATAATAATGTTTATGGAAACAATGTGCCCTAAGAGAAAAGTGTTAAAATGTAAAACATAACAATAAAGGAAAAACGTCACTCACTTTCAGAAACATGAACTGATTTTGTTTGGAGAGTTACGTCTCATTCTCCATGGTCAGTGCAGGATTGCTCATCCCTTCAAGGAAGAACAGAAAAGTGAGAGACGCATTGAACCTGGCACTCCTCAGAACATCATAAACCATCGTCTCCTAGTTCTCCGTCGACCTAGTCACTCCAGCCAGGCTGACCTTGGAGCCCTTTCCCATCTCCTCCTTCTCATGGTCCTCTTCTCTTACATCGTCCTCTGAACTTCATTTTCTCTTTCACCCAGCAACGTAACAAAAACACTAATCGAGCATGCCAAATAGTTAACAGCACATTAAAAACCAGGAAATCATCTATATGTTAACACAGAACTACAGGAGGAGACAAGAGTCCTCTCTGAAAGACAGAGCTCTTTGTGTCTCCAGCCCCTGCCCCAAAACCGACCCCCAACTATTTATCTGTCCTCTTCACCTCTAAGGAAACTATGGATTCAAAGTGCAACTAGGTGTCATCAATTTCTTGCTCAGGTAATGCTCAGTCCTCCCCATAGACTGGGAAATGGAATGGCACGTGTGAAGGTGAAGAGAGACCGAATTATGAACACTGAAATGATGGGGATATTCTGTGACCATACGGAGGAGGGGCGAAAGTAGGCTTACAGTTGTGACTACGTAGAACAGTTTGTTCTCATATTACTATGCATTAATTATTGTATTATTTTCCACACAAATAACTGTAAACCTACTTCCCCCCACCCTGTGTACTGTTTAAGGAAAAGACCTTTTAAAGAAAGCAATATTTTAGGAGAATATGACTGATTATATATTAAATTAGATCCCAAATCTGCCTTAGAATTTTTAATCAGGACCGTGTGTTTGTTTTTCACCATACCGGAGTGATTTCCGATAACCCAGTGAGTAAAGTGCTGTGAGCCAAAGCCAGGCAGCACTTAGGGGAGAGTTTTAGGAAAAGACTAGAAATGAAAGAGAATTCAGGAATTCAGTCAACCTGGTGATTTTCTGGGTAACACTGTCGCAATGGTGGATATATTGGTTTTGTACTTATTTAAAGGGACACCACACATATTTAACTTACACCTTCCCAACCCTAAGAAACGAGTAGTATTTTCAAGGTAAGAAAGCTAAGTCTATGATGTTAGGTAACTTAACAAATATCACATATTAATTAGATGCCCAAATTAAGATTTAAAATCAGGTCTGTCTGACTTCAAAGCCTTGCTTGTTCTCTACCGATAAAGAAGTGATCAAAAGATTAAGATCAACAGTAACAAGAGAAATATGAACAAATTATAGGTAGCTGACATTGTGTAATTATACAATCAGTTCTGCATTTTTAACTGGATAGAAGTCTTAGGGTAACAGCACTGTGTAATTTGGTCCTTTACAGCAGATATTTTTTAATCTTTTGTCTGAATTAATCACATTTTTCCTTTTTTTAAAAAACTGTCCTGTGAGTTTATTTCTGTCATTTAATATGCAGTAATAAAAATTTAGTTTTAAAACAAACAAAAAACACCCCCAAACAATGAAGATCTATCTTTCACAAAATGGTTTTCCAGAACTAAGAGACATTAATCAAAGTGCTTCACCAGCAGAAGTTCTGAAAATAATTCTAAATGTACACTGGAAGTCTGACTCCAAGAAACTTCCTATAGGTAATACAATGGACTTTTTTTTTCACTACTTTAACCTTTCAAAGATGATACACATCGAAAAAGCCAAACCGGCGCACCCTTACCAGCTTTGTCTTTTCCCGGGTTGGCGCTGCTCTCCGTCCAGGACTGAGAGTCGGTGAGCAGGTGGCTCTGGGACTCTCTCAAGGGCTTTGCAGGAAACTGGTGGTTTTCAGGACTGAAGGACAACAACCATCATCACAGTCATTACATTAACTCTTGACACTATCGAGGTGAGTGCTTCTCAGAGTACAGGACTCAAACCGAGACAACTGCGCAGTGGCAGTTACGGAAGAGAATTGGGGGAATTCAGGAACAATTCGATCTCGCGGACTCACGGTGAGAAAAGCGTTCTCTCCTCGGTCCCCTTTCATTCCTCTGACTGTAACAAGATCACACTCTTTACCTCTGGCAAACCTCCATTTTTAACACACAGACTCGGCCTCAGCCTCAGACTTTTTAGCAGGTAAGGGAATCTGGTTAGACCTAATAGCATTTTACTATCAATTTTACTTTAACTTATAGTCTACATCCAACAAATTATACTAGTTTCTCATTTATGATGGTGATATGAAATTTGGTTTAAAAATAAATCTCCATGCTAGTTTAAATAAATATACTCATATTAAAGAAACATTATTTTTAAGTGGTATGTGGATATGGAAAAAAAATAGGAAGGTAACGGTAGAAAGGCAAGTGTGAGGGAAAAGTGGCCCAACGTTTTCTAAAGTGGCCTACCTGGTCTTGAACACAGAATTCCCTACCTTCTACAAGACAGAAACAATGCATTTGAGCATCGTCTCGCAGGAATGTTGAGAGCATCTGACATGAACAGGTCTTACAAACCTGGTGTTTCATTTGGGAAAATGAAGTCTTAAAAGAAGAACTTAAGTTTTAAAATGTAAGCAGGCATGTCACATATCAACACATTGGATGGTATGAAAAAATAAAGTATATACATAAATTAAAATAACATAAAAATTCAAACATTTCAATCAGATAGAAAAAATTATTGGCATAGAAACTGTTATTTTAGAACACCCCAAAGTACTAACTATAATAACATTCAAAAGAAAAAACTACTTAAAATGCTTCCAAGAATAATTTCACATATTTCAGTTGTCTGTTAACTGTTACTTTTTACAGGGTATGCTTTTGCACCTCAGTAATTGCCTCATATCTAAAATTTGAAAATACTTCAATTTTAGACAGCTTTATCATACCCTTATTAAAATTCTGAAGGTAAATCTTTAAAAAATATCATTTCCTATTCATATGAAAAATCTTTTTTACTCTGATTCCTATTATTCTCTGAAAAGAGGCCATATGCCAGGTACAGCATACAGATTTGATTGGACAAGGTGAGGACACTCATTAGTCCTTATGATGAGTAAGATGGGAAATCTGTTGGGAACCACCCTGCCTGGTTTCAGAAGCTGTAACCGCCGCCAAGGCTAAGGCTGAGGGAGCGACCTTGGGACCAGAAGCCACTGAGGAGACAAAAGCTTACCTCCCTGGCAGGAGCACCGCTTCTGCTCCTTTTACTTCATCTATAACTCGTCCCCAATGCTTGATCAGTTAGCCAATGACGAGTAAGATTCCCCAAAGGGGGGAGCAACCTAAGACAGGCAGGATCACGTGGGAGGCCCCCAAGGGAGGACTTGGGGGGCTACAGCAAAAGTGAGTAATGGACCCTCGCCCCTCAGCTTTGACAAAGCCTGAGTCCTCATTCTGTCTGCAAGAAGTCTCCTAATCTCTTGGCTGCCTTATTTCCCCTGCCTGACTTAAGCCTGAAACAATGACAGAGGGTGATGCAGCCCTGTGCTGGAAAGGGTGGGTTCCCTGGGTAATCGGGCCTAAGAAAGAATATGTAAAATCCTGTGAAACCTGCTTTGTTTAAAATGCTCTCAATTAAATGATAAGGGTCCAAGCAAGAAGTGAGTTTGTTCCTCAAAGCTTTATTGTTCTTTAGCTATCTGACCCTGACTCAAAATAGGCCCTCAGAGTTCTTTGTTATCTATTGTTTGATCTTTACTGCCTGGCAATGATTAATGAGCTTTACCTGAATTCCTGTGCAAATGAAACCAATAAAAGCCCACTGAGGAACAGGCTCCTGGCCCTTCTCCTTTGAGAGATCTGCCACCTTTCCTCCCCAAGCAGATCATGTCTTGGTAGACTTATTCTCATCTATGGAGGCTGGGGGCGCCCGGCGAGCGGAGCCCCCCCACCGAAATCAATGGGGTTTTTTGAGCAGAAGAATGACAAAATCTGATGTATGTTTTAAAAGGATCACACTGACTTCTTCAGGGTGAATACCCTGGAGTGGGGCAAACACGGAATCAGGAAGATCAGGAAGTGAAACAATTCCTCTGAGAAACGATGCGGAGAGATTCCCAGGGTGAATCAGGACAGGGCTTGCAAACAGAGTAAATAAACCAACTGCAAGACAGGAACCTAAAAGGACCCCAGGGTTTCTGGCCTGAGCACCTGGGACAATGGAGGTCATGAACACTGATTCACAGGTGGAGGAGAATGGGGTCTGGTGTGGGCGTGAGGGTGTGGGAGCCTGGAATCCAGAGGACTGCTTTGCACCTGTTCCACTGGCGATGGCTTTTCGACATTTAAGGGGAAGGTTGAGTAGATACACAGCTACTTGGGCAACTTGGGGGCACAGAGGAGATACAGAATTAACCATAGATATTTTATAAGAGCTAACAAGGGGACATTACAAACTTCTGTAGCAGAGACGTTATCTGTCAAAATCCAATCCCAGCATTTACAGGGAAGGAGGAAAAGGCTGGTTACTTCACAATCCCCTCTCTGGGTAACGATGCCAGAACTGGGGTCTCTCTCGATACCCATGGCAGGCACACTTAGTCGGAGAAAGATTATCTCGAAAACCCAAATAGTCTTAAACTACAAAAAACACTTAATAAAGATAAAAAAACATTATAGAAAACTACTGTTAAAGTTTATAAAAGCTATGAAAACCTAACAAACAACTTATTAAAACTAGATTTCTCTGCACCAAGGTATAAGAAAAACCATGAACATTGAGCTCTGTGGAGTTTTCAAGCTAAAACTCAGAGGATGTGACCCAGTAAGACTCTGCTACCTTTGACTGTCTCCGTGAAACACATTGAAATGGGCTCCTCACTAACTGAGAGAGCCTGGTCTGTCCACTGCTCCCTCTAGGGGTGGGGTGGCCAATTGGTTTCCTCTCATGGCAATTGAAAATTCATTTTCAAGTGGAAACCACTTGAAAATGAATTTATAAATTATCTTACGTTCTTAAGTTTTCAAAGAAATATGTAACCCGAGGATACACGAGAACAGAATATACTATTCAAAAGTGAAATAGAAAAAAAAAAATACGGGATTACTTTTTGGATGCTGAGTTCAGCCCTGCGGGAGGAGACGGCTGTTCAGGATCCTGGTTAACAAGGCAAGTCGGGAAGGAGCATCCGTCGCCTAGACTGTAAGGAAAATGAAGACGCACAGTTGGACAGTGAGAAGGACAGCGGAGTGAATTGTTACAAAGTGCTGATGTCCGAGCAGAACACAGTAATACTATGGCCAACGTGTGTATCAGACAGTGGTTTCAGCACAGTGCTTAAGGAGATGAGGAGTTAACTGACTTCCACACTGACATAACAGTGAATCATAAAATAATACTTTAAAAAAGAAGAGTTCCCACCCGGAATAATGGAGTTCCTTTGTTGATTCACTTTCATTAGTTTAAAACCCGAAAATGTTCCCAACGAAATACCTTGAAAAAATGGGTAGCAACCAGTACTTCTTCTCATCACCAAAAACTTGTCGCATATTTTTACTGAAACCCAAGCTGAATCCATTCTTATCTGTTCCGTGTCGAAATACTGGGCTTCTAAATGCCTCTATGAGAGATAGCAGAGTACTCACATGAGGGGAGAACATATCAGTTAGTAGCCGGTAAGTTCAGAAATGACCAAATTAAACAAAGAAACTTGAAAATCAATGGTTGGCCGCTTGTGAGTACTAATGTGCCTACCAACAGCCCAGCAATATGGATGGTCTGTTCTGTTTTAAAATAACCAAATAATTACATTTATTTTCTTTTTAAGAAACCTATTAATGATTATAACAGCACATGTGTGTTGCTGAAAATTAGAAAATACAAACGTGTAAAGAAGTGAAAACTTCATGTCTTCTAAATCTTTTGTTGATAGATGGGTGGATGGATGGATGGATGGATGAAGATATATACAAATCTACACAGTTTTTTAGCCAAAGTGAGACTATGTTTTAGCTAATTCTACAACCTGCATTTTACAGTCCCTAAGCTCCATGTTCTAATCTCTTTAAAATTTTATCTCATCCCAGTAATACCTTTTTTCCAGCTAACCAAAATATACTTTAAAGCCTGTTTGTCCAAACCAAGATCCAGTGCAGAATCCTCCACTGGATGTGGTTCCGCCCACTCGGCAGACGGAAGCTGAGGGCAGAGAGGCTGCAGGACTTGCCCAAGGTCACGCAGAAATAAACATCAGAGGGAGACCTGAACACATGTATCAATGTTCCTCCTGTAATGCAACCTTTTCTTCTCAGATGCAACAATCCAAAATTTTACTTTCTGAATATGAATGAACATATAAGTGTAGTGAGTTCTGCCCATTATTTAAAAACTAAAACCCTGAACTAGCAGAGTCAAGGTGCTATGAGAAAATGTGGCAATTTGCAAGATCCTTAATATTTGCCACCCTAGGTTACACAGATTTACATAAGAAATGTTATAATTAGAGGACCATATTGTCCAGGGGAAGTCCTTTCAGTTTTACAAGTTCAATCAACAAATTTTAGAAGTTAAAAGCTTCTAGAAACAATTTACTTAGGATGAATTAAAATTGAGTTGCCCAACCTATATTATGAAGTAAGACACTTTGTTTAAAAATTATAACACCAATTTTCACCCTGATAGTGGCTGCGATATTAAGACTTCACCTGAATATTAAAAATGATCATTCTTTGACTATAGGAATCTTCACTGACAGTTATAATAATGGAATCTCAAGGTTTGAAGTGTCCTTTGAGATCATAAGGGTTTACAAGTTTTGGATGGATGCCCAAACTCCTAACCTTGGTCTAGAAGACTCGATGTAGCTTAGTCCCTGCTTACTCATCAAACGTCATAGTGTATTTTCTGTTCTTAGCTTTCTATGCTCCTACCACGTGGATGGCGTCTCAAACACTGCTGGCTTTTCCTATAATGCTTCTTTAAAAATTGAGGTGAAATTCACGGAACACGAAATTAGGCACTTTCAAGTGAACAATTCAGTGGCTTTTTGTACATTCTCAATTTTGTGCAACTACCACTTACATTAAGTTCCAAAAATGTTTCACCACCCCAAAAGAACCCCTATCCTCATGAGGCAGTTACATGTTACAGCATATTTCAGTACTTCATTCTTTATGGCTGAGTAATATTCATATACATCGTATTTTTTCCATCCATTTGATGGGCATTTGGATTGTTTCCACCTTTTGGCTAACGTAAACAGTGCTGCTATGAACGCTGATGTACGAATGTCTCTCAAGTCCCTGTTCTCAGTCCTTCTGGGTGCATACCTGAGAGTGGAACTGCTGGGTCACATGGTAACTCTCTGTTTTCCATTTTGAGGAACTGCCACATTTTCCACAGTGTTCACACAACTGTTTTCCCACCAGCAATACGTGAAGGTTTCAGATCCTCTACATCCTCATCACGACTTGTTTTTCGCTTTTTGATACAAGCCATCCTGGTGGGTAGGAAGTGGTGCCTCGCCGTTTTTATTTTTGTTTCCCTAGTAACTAATGATACTGAGCATGTTTTCATGTGTTTGCTGTCCATTTGTGCATTTTCTTTAGAGAAATGTCTTTTTAAATGTCTATTCAAATCCTTCGCCAATTTTCAAAGTGGGCTGTTTGTCTTTTTGTTGTTGAGTTGTAAGAGTTATTGCTCTATTCTGTATTCCTTGGCCCTTACTAGATATATGATTTGCAAATGTGACTCTCATTCTTCAGGCTAGCTTCTTGCTTTTTTGATAATGTCCTTTCATGTACAAACATTGTTAGTTTTGATAGTGTCTAATTTAATCTTTTTTCTTTTGTTGCTTATGCTTTTGGTCTTATATCTTAGAAGTCATGACTACATTTGAGGTCCTGAAGATTTATCCCTGTGTTTTCTTCTAAGAGTTTACAGTTTTAGATCTCCCATTTAGGCCATTGAACCATTTTGAATTCATCATTGTATTTGGCATGAGGTAGGGGACCAATTTCGTCCTTTTTCTCCCAGCATCATTTGTTAAAGATCTCTTCTTTCCCCATTGAATGGTCTTGCTACCCTTGTTGATAATCAATTGTCCGGAAATATGTAAGTTTAGTTCTGGACTCTCAGTTCTATTCCATTGGTTGATATCTCTCTCCTTATGTCCTTTTAATCACATACACTTACACGGTTTTAATCACTTTGATTTTTAGCAAGTTCTGAAAACAGTAGGAACTTTCTTTTGTGTGTATATTGTTTTCCCTATTTGGGGCCCCTGAAATTCCCTGAGAATATGAGGATCAGCTTTTCTATTTCTGCAGGAAAGGCTTTTCAGATTGCAATAGGAGTTGTACTGAACCTGAAAATAAAGTATTGCCACCTTAACAATGCTAAGTTTTCTGACCCATGAACATGGGAATCTTACCATTTACTTAGGTCTTCTTTAGTGTCTCTCAGCAATGCTTTGCAGTTTCAGTCTCCTAGTCTTGAACCAGTCTCATTAAATGTATTCAGCACCCCGTCTCCATTAGGCTTTTGGACGTACTGTTTTCTCTGCCTGAAATGCTCTAGCTCTTTCCGTGACTGATTTCTTAGGTTAAATATGTTTCATTGTGGTGAGCCTTTCCCTGGCCACTCATCTAAACAGGTGAGTGACTGGTCCCTCAGCATCCTATTTGTTTCCTTCACAGCACTGTGCGTCCTGTCGTTACTTTTATGTTTGCGTGATGATTTTCTATGTCCCTCACTAGGCTGTTTTGCTTTTGCTCACCACTAAATATACAGAATGCTTTACATACAATGGACAGTCAATAAATATATTAATAAGTAAACCTGTGTCTAAGTCACATCTCACAAAACAACGTGTGGAGTAAGAACGATTTTTACCACTTTAGGACAGGCTGGCATTTAATCAAATGGCGATGTTTGATGAATATCTTTTTATGTATTCAAAGTTCTTTTAACTGCAATGATTGGATACTCACCTAATGTAGACTTATTTTTGCTGACTAGCCAACAATGATAGCCAAACAGAGAAGACAAGCTGACAGAAAACATAGCTGCAGCAAAGAATAAAAACATAATATGGAACTTGGCTTGAGTATCAGGTAGACCATTCTACAAAGAAAGGAAGAAAATGAAATGTTTTGTCAAAGGGATAAGTATTCCCCTACTTTTATAAGTAAGATTTTTTTTTGCTTAAAATTTTTCTTAAATTTAGGCATGGAGAAAGATACATGGCTTTAAGCTAAAACTTTGAGAAAAAAAATATATAGCATCAGATTAAATTTTTACTGGAATATAGATATATGTGGAAAAGATATTCAAACCTGGGGTATTTATTTTGTTTGGCATAACCAAATCCTAGAAAAACTGGTAGTGTGTGTGTAAACTATAACAGAAGAAAACAAGATAAAAGGAACTATAAAGTATACTTTTGAATTTCCTACTTGAACAGGTTTTGCTAACATACTACAGATACTAACAACTAGTTTTATATTTAGCCATAAAATGAAGGTGAATTGGCACAAATTAGCTACTACATGCGCTGATGTTTTACTTCACCACGAACAACGGCATCGAGAACACACAGACCACCACGCCCACAGCAACGCTCAGCTTGTTTTGTAAACAGCAGCATCACAGGAAGGAGGAACACTGGAGCGTAACGCCTGTCTAAAACACGCCTTACGATACCGATGGGATAGGACAGGCCATCTCCGAGCAATGCCAGTCAGACTGCCATCGCAGGTTTTGTCCAAGGAGACCTGGGCTCAGTCTGGAATGGCAGGCTGGGGGCGATGGGCAGTCAGGGAAGCTCCGGAGCCACTGGGAGGTGTCTCCTTCTCACAGAAGGTCACACCGTCTCAGTGCCCTGTAGCGTCTGTCAGACTGACACAGATCACAGGATCTCACTGCCAGCTTTTGACAGCAGAGTCCTCACAGTGCAAACTCTGGTCATTTCCTTAGAAAGACAGTGTGGTTGGAGCTGGACCCATTCCCAGGGTGGCGGAGCAGCAGGGTGACACTTTCTCAGACGTGCACTAGGGGCCCTTCTCCAAGCTGGACAGGGGAAGTGGGCTCGAATGCTCGGAGCATGTCCACACACCTGTGTATTCCTAGTGCTTAGCCATGTGCCTGGCACATAGTAGGTGTTCAATAAACCTTTAGTATCGAATGTGCTTAAAACCCCACACAAATGATCTAGCAATTGAGAAAATCTTACCATAATAATGAATAATTTTGCAATTCTGGCAAAGGATAAGAGTTTTACCATTGTTTGGTACTCACAGGTATCTTTGGATATTTCAAATACTCAATTTTAACTTTGTTTTGCTTACATTTAAAATAAATAGTGCAGAAAAACAAATGAGTTCATTAAAGCCTAATCAAGTAATACCTAATAAAAATTTGGGACATTATAGGCATAATAGTGTAAAAAGTAATCTTTTTACAACATAAAGAAAACACTTCTATTTTTAAATACTAAAAAAAATCTTATGTAGTCCATTCTTGCTATTCTCAATGGTTGTGTTCTATAAAGTTGCCGTGAACACTGGATTCATCCCAGGGAAAATACGGGGTTTGGTCCCAGTGAGCCTTCGGTCACAACATTTTTGTCAACTGATCAGTACATAGCCTGCTTTGGGGGTGCTTGTGCTTAACGACACCTTACTGACAACTTACTCAATATTTATTGTTGATTCATCAACACAGAACTCACACCCAACATCACTGTTAACTCACGCTTGAGGGAAGCTCAGCCAACGCACCTATTTTCTCCATAAAGCACAACAGGCTGGTGCTCAGAAACACTAGACAGTGCTCTCAGCCCCATTTTAAGCAGAGAAATAACCAACAAAAAGCACAAAAATGCAAAAAAAAGGCAATAAATAGACTGAAAAGCACACTTGGGTAACAACATGAGAGTTGAAACAAGAAGACAGTCTCCTGGTCTGATCTCAACTGACAATGGGCCACGCACATTCTCGGCCGCTCTGTGCACGTCTGCAAATGGCCACGCGAGCTCTGTGAGTGTTGATTTGGGGGTCACAGAGAAACTGCAGCAAGACGGCAAATTCATAAGCACGGAATCTGCAAATACTGAGGACTGACTAGAAATGAGCTCAATTCTATAAAATCAGTGTCCGAAATAATTCACTAATGCAAAAGTACATTGTATATTGTTGTATACCTAAAAGGTCAACAAGATAATGACTTACTGTCCAAAATTTGATAAAATACTGTAAATCTGTAGCAGCAATAAAAAGGCAGTACAGCAGGGAATAAGCCAAGAAAAGAAGGAAAAATTTATAATTTGAAAATCCGACACAATTGTTCACCCTGTTGACAAAACAAAAACATTTTCAATAAGTTTCACATTTTCAACACAGGTATACATACGTTCTACCTTAACAGAGCATGTAGTTTTCCAGCACTTAAAATGTATTGGTGTTTCTTAAGCCTGACTTGTAAGATTTCTTCACACATACAAACATTTTCAAAAATCTGCTTCATTGCAGAGAAATTCTGTGTTTAGATTTTTAAAATTTGATATGCAACACTGCTTTAATTACTCATAAACCATGTAACTCTACAGTTGACCACTGAACTACAGAGGTTTGGACTGCACGAGTCCATTTATGCACAGATTTTTGTTCAATAATTACAGTCAGCCTTCCGTGCCTCCAGGTTCAGCATGCATGGATTCAACCAACCTGGGCTTGAAAACAGTATTGGCAATACATGACTGGGAAGCAATCTGACCCCAGTATGTAAGTATGCGATCTGAACCCACTTTAAAAACTCTGGAGTCTCCTATCTGTTCCCCCTCACTTGCTTAACAGGGTCTGCCAAAATTAGAAAGATTGTCAAATTTTTCTCTCAGTTTCTTACAAAGTCCAATTAATTGCAGGTTTAGAAAAGAGGCTATTAGTAAGGTAGTGAGTTAGTATTTTCTCTGTGTGTAATTTTTGTGACTATGTCAAGGACATGGCAAGCTGTGTAGGTATGGACTAATTTGGGATCGACCACTACTGTTTCCGCCTCGTCCCAGTCTGATTTTATTACACAAATCAGAGTCAACTCCGTGCCCCTGATTTCTTGACCACCCAGCTAAATTCTACCTGGAACACACCTCTATCCAGAAAGGAGGGTGTGTTCCTCCTAAAACAGACGCTGAGACAAGAGCCCGAATGCAGGTGATTTGAAATGAGGAAGGGAGAGAACTGAGAGCAGCGTGTGTCCCGAACCAGGTGCCCACTGGTTGAGAGCCGCCTCTCGGAGCATTAAGGCCCTCCCTGGCACTTAGGAGCGGAGCAAACCTCCCCAGGTGGAAGAGGGGCCTCAGGCAGAGCAGCGAAGAACCGGAGGTGTCTCCGGTGGGGAGCTGTCAGCAGGCATGGGAACTGCCCCTGCGGGTGCAGTGGACTCACAGGCGGGTCGTGGGGATATGGGGGTGGGGGACAGGGCGACACTGACAGCATGTGCTGTGGAAGGGTCAACAGAGGAATGAAAGGAGGATGCAGGCTACTTATAATTAAAGATATGGGGGAGGTTACTTGATGAGAATTTGAACAGAATGAATGCAGTGGATGAAAGAAAGAGGAAAGCAAAAGAATGGATACCATGCAAATGAATACCAAATGGAGGTGCATTACCGAGATGCTTTTTGAGAAGACCATTGTCATGGCCGTTAGGGGGCCTTGCCGTGTTAAAAGAGAAAATGTACCCGGACGAAAGGAAAGGGTGTCCTGGAGAGGGTGTAGTTAAGACAGCAAACCTGACATTGCCCATGGTTCCCTGCAACTAAGATAATCACTCCCTGTATGTGTACAGCATCCAGCAGAAGTAACACCTGCTTCAGTGTGGTGGGCAGGATAATAACGTGGGTGTGATAATTTATCATTTTAATTTGAACCGTTCACCTAAAATGTCATATGGTGTGCTTAAGTGTGATACTGTTATGTTACAGAATTACATGCTTATGATTTTGTAATAAAAGATTTTGTGATAAAAAAATAGGGGTGTTATTTGTGCCAGACCCTGAACGTTTCAACCTACAGCTGGTGTCACTTTCCCAAGTGCCACCCCAGAAAGAAGACAGGCTGGGGCACACTCATGCTTCATGTCCAGCTCCAACCGGCTGACATCCTCAGAGTGACTGCCAAAGGCACGTGCACACTGGGATGAGGAATTACAGGGAAAGGTAGAAAAATCCACCTTCCTCGGTTAATCAGATCTTTCAAAGAATCCTCCATTAAGTCACCTAATTTCATGACTCAGAAATACTTTTTTATAAGTGGGACCTAATCAATGACAAACAAGCAAGCAAAATATAAGCAGAGGCATTGAAATAAAGAACAAACTGACAGTAACCAGAGGGGAGGGGAGAGGAGGATCACGGGCGGGGGGGGGGGGAATGGGGGAAGGGTTGTCAAGGAACATGTATAAAGGACACATGGACAAAGCCAAAGGGGGTAGGAACAAGGGTGGGAGGTGCGGGTGGGTGGGGTGGGGGTGACTGGTGAGGGGAAAATGGAGACAACTGTACTTGAACAATAATTAAAAAAAAGAAAAAAAGAATAGAATGGAAAAAATAAACTTTTAAAAAACATTAACACATTCTAAGTGGAAACCCTTATTTCAACACATGTATATTTTCATGTTTGCTACTCTACCTGTAAATGCCAAGTTTTACGTAAAATAAATTGTTAAAGTTTTAGATGAATTAATAATTAGAAACTTCCAATGAGGTACTGTGTTTATGTGTACATTCAGGCATAATTTCTGGGGAGTATTTTAGAATTTCTATGTTAACGCATGTGCATACGAAGAAAACCATTCATTCTGAGCAAACATGAGAAATTAACTTTTAAATTAAGTTATTGGTTATAAAATTATTTCACGGAAATTCCCCTGAATAAAAACTCTTCTGAACTAATTAAACAAATGCCAGGAATTAAATATGAAAGTACCTCTGACATCAGCTAAGGCAAGATTTCACTCATAAAAAGGTTCAAATAGAGAAGTGATTCCGTTTACTGACTTGTGGAAGCACATAGCCAGACTCACCATGGGCAATGATGATCCATCTTCAAAATACATCTAAAAAAAACCCACACAGACACAAAACTCAACACCCCATAAAAATGTAGCCCCAATAAAACATAAAAATAGACTTACAAGTTATTTCAAAGGAGTTGTAATAAGTAAAATATTACAAAATTATTTATTTATCTAAAAGTTGAATAGTAGCAAAAGTCCTCCTTTAAAATACATAGCCAGTTCCAGTTATGATACAATAAGAGAACTTTCAATTCAAACATGCACGTTTTAACATCTAAAAACAATGCAATGTGTTAAGATACAATTGCCTTATGCTAATGAAAATGCAAAGTGTCAACAGATTTACAGAAAGTCTGGATAAAACTTGTCCTTTAATAGCAATCCCTAAGCCAAGTAGCACGATGCTTGTGGCTACAGCATGTTATAACATCTGACTGTCATGCAGTCAAGTGAGGTATCTTTATAAAGATGGGAGTCACGAAAGAAATATTTACAAAATCAAACTAGTCAAGTCTGAGCTGCCAAAACTCCTGCACTTCATTCATGTCACTGTGAATCAGGGGAACAGGGGTGACTCGTTTTGGCCCTAAACCACACTTGTTATTAATGCAAGTGATTGTGCCAGTTCTATTTCCTAAACAAGGGAGAAAAGGAAATAATCTGGAAAACTGTGAGAAAAGAAGTGCATTCAATAAAAAGATCACCAGCATGTAACCGTGTTAGAAATAACGGATTTTCGTACTTGTCACAGACGGAGCAGTGGTGGCAGCGATCTGGTTTGATGAGCTGGCATCTGTCGCAGTAGCGGATTGCTGGGGATGAGAAGACCCACTTAGCCTTCGACGGAACAGTGAGTGGAACATGCAACTAAATGGCTCTTACCGTCTATTCAAACTTAAATTCCGGAAAGCATACCCCATTTAAACTTGGTGAAAATGAGGTGGTGAAACACTTAAACGGAGTAACTTGCCGACAGTTTCAGATCTCTGGAGAGGTTTCCCACGGACAGAGAATCCTTCGGGGAAATTTTTCTAGGGACCTGCAACTGTCAGGGGTTATGGTGAGGCTCACCAAGGATGTAAATATGTCCGTTTCCATCCAAGTAAACAGAATGTCTCTCTCAACTAAATGAATTCTTTCTTGTACCCTGCCAGGATAACTGGGAGAGGACACAACCACGTTTTAGACATTTTATGCGAAACACATTTTAGAAATTTGTGAATAAACTCTCTTAGTGGCTTAAGTAGGGAAAGATCGCACATCTCTGTTGGGTTGGGTACAAGCTCAGGAGTATTAGAAGTACTTCCAGTAAGAATTTCAGTCCTTGTCCCTGAAGAGCTGATCCTCTGTGCTCTAAATCAGATACCAAGACAATTATGAATGACTGATCTGGAGAAGCTCTTTCAGTCCCAGGCATCTTGACAGGATGCAAGCAGGCTACCAAAATCATAGGAAAGCAGCTATTAAGTGGGCACTCCCGTAGGACCAGTAAAACCAAACTTACTAATTTAAAATTTGGAAAACACTGGCAGTAAATAATGACCAGAGTTACATTAGCTAACATCTCTGGGAAAGGAAACAGCTGCTTTATACTAAGAATACAATGAGCTCTTCTTAGACAACAGGCCTAAACAGAGCCGTCTTCAACACTGAAGTGAGTTCCTGACCACCCCTCCCAACTCCCTTTTTCAGCGAACAGCATGGCCTTGCTGCTCAGCTTCTGTGTGAAAAAGTCCAACGATGCTACAAGGTCCCACTGGCTCCTGCGAAGTACTGAAGTGGAAGGCAGTGTTGTCCAGAGACAGACAATGTGACCCCCATGTGGAATGTTAAATCCCCTAGGAGCTATCTTCAAAGAACTACTTTGGTTATAAAATTATTTCATGGAAATTCTCCTGAATAAAAACTCTTCTAAACTAATTTTTTATAAGTGGAATCTAATCAACAAAACAAACAAGCAAGCAACTAAATATCCAAAGTATTAGAAGATATAATCAATACAGCATTGGCTGGTGTGGCTCAGTGGATTGAGCGCCAGCCTGCATACCAAAGGGTCACGGGTTTGATTCCCAGTCAGGGCGCATGCCTGGGTTGCAGGCCAGGTCCCCAGTAGTGGGCACGTGAGAGGCAGCCACACATTAATGTTTCTCTCCCTCTCTTTCTCCCTCCCTTTAAAAATAAACTTTAAAAAATTTTTAAAAGATATAATCAATATAAAAATATCAATAACATACTTTATGGGGGTTTTTTTTAATACCAACTCCTTGAAACCTCTTATGTACTTGGCAGAGTTACATTTTAAGTGCTTAGTCGCCACCAAGGACAGCAGCTCCATAGTGGGCAGCACGGTCGAAAGTCACAAAACTTCCAGGTGACGTGTGGTGGGCAATGCTGGATTCTCTCTGGGTGGTGAGCGTCTCTACTTTAAACCACACTCGGAAAAAAACTTTCAAATCAAAGTGGGCAATAACTCACAGGAAATCAAAACAACACAGAAATAAGTTTTTCCTTTATAGCCTTTTATAAACAGAAATTTAGTCTTTTGATAAAAAATACTCTGTGTACCATATTATATCCAATTAAAATCATCCAGTGTCACTTAAAATCAACAATCTGATGATCATTTAAAAATTCTTTATAGCCAAGGAGGAATTTTATTTTAACTGTCTTGCTTGAATTTTTAAAGAACTCATTCATATCTTATTTACATAATTTAAAACTGTGCTGGTAAATGTTGAAAAGCAAACATTATCGACATCTATATACGATGGTAAACTAATTACGTCTCCTCTAATTGTTACCTTCCTAGTCAAAAACTATATATTTTTTCTTTGGTAGAAAAAGATCAAGGGCAAGAAGAGCGCTAAAAATGTAAATAGTCCTCATTAATGAAAATAAAAAGTAATAAAGTTTGAAGGGCCCTGTTAGAAAGCAGGAGGAGGGTGGATTAGAAGAATGCACAGAACAAAGAGAAGATGAGTGGACCTTTTGTTTTACATTATTTTTATTCTATTTTTCCCATGATCACGTATTCCCCTTCACCGTCCACCTCCACCTGCACCCACGCCACCTGCGCCCATGCCCGTCCTGCCTGGCAGTCGCCACACTGCTGTGCGAGCAGCCTGCTCACCGCCCTGCGGCACGTGCGCCCCACAGCCCGGTCTGCAGGGGGCTGCATTGTCCCTCTGTGTCCAGCAGGCAGTTTAGCGCGGGCAGCTGGCCTCTTTCTCTCTCAGGTTTAGAGGAAGTACTGTGGATTTAGATTGGATGGTAAAATCCTAACTTATGTTATCACCCGCTTTCTTCAATTCTCTACACAGTGTGTGAATGCAACTGAACCTTTTGGTTGCTTCAGCCACAGACTTTCCTGGGAAGTTATCCAGAGAACACCAGGGTCACAGCAGCTGTGGCTGGGGGGGTGAGTAAGGAAGACCCCCTCACATTCCTGCCTGGGTGTGACCGTGACTGTTCACTTCTCAGACACGCTCACCTTTCCATTCTACGTATTCTAGGACGGGATCAGACCCACCGGCCTTGTAGTCTATCTCTTATACTTTGTGCACTTTCATTTAGTCAATGCCTGTAATCAGTTAATACTGATTTTAGCAGGCACCCAGAATTTCTGCACAGAAGATATAAAGTTTATGTTAGGACATCCAGACTCTGTTCCCAACTGTCACAAATACTGGGAATCGTAAGTTCATCCCCTGAGATGGGCATACAGGACCTGAGAGAACAAGAGATGACAGCCTTAACGTTGTGTAACCTACACAAGGAGGTGACTTACCAATCCGATGTGCAGCTGTTATTATTAATGCATATTCACATTTGTCCTGGTGTGACTTACGCTTCAGCCCTTTCTCTTAATCCAGTGTGCCAAGGGCGGCACACTGAAGAATGGCACTAGAAATGAGTACACGTGGTGTGCGTGCCCGGCACCTCACTGTCAGTCACTAGTTCTGGAAACCGGGGCAGTAGTTCCTTTACAGGGGGCTTACACTTCCCCAGTGTCTGTTTAGGTTTACACAGGGTAAATATACAGGAACTTTTACATGAACTTATACATGAGCACATCGCTGTCTTTGTGCGATAGAACCAGTGACATAAATCAGACAATTGGCACTTGTTCATTGAGAAACAGTGAAAACAAAGAGGAAAAAGTTGTACCTGACTTAGGTTCAATAATGATTTTAAGGGGAGTTAGAGACAAATATAAATATAAAATAGTAGTGAGATATTTTACATCCTTTTCTTCAAATTAAGTCTGTGAAATCGATTGTGCATTTTATCCTTAAAGCACAGCTCAGTTTAACTGGCTGCAGTTTAAGTGCTCAACACCCATGGGGGGCTGGTGGCCACCAAAACGAGCAGCCCAGGTCTCGAGCCACACACTGGACGCAACTTGGTAGGCAAGGGTCAACGGCCCATGTGTCCTATTTTCAAGACAATTTTTTAATTAGATCACTGGTAAGTTACCTTAAAAATCTGACCCAAGTAGAAGAGATTTGCTATTTGAGTTGCATTTATTAAAAAACTACCATAAATTTAAAAGATGAAAAATTATACCAATATGTTTTATATAATGTGTATAATTACTGTAAAGGCATTTAAGTGATCAATGTTATGTTCATTGTAGCTATTGCTCCTTTAAATTAAACAAGAATAGGAAGGTCTACAATTAAAACATTAAAAATGAATACTACTACAAATCAAGATTTCAGTCATTCCCCACCAAGTAGGCAGAACAGAACTGGGCCAGTTGTGATTTGGCTAAGATCCCTGAGCCACATGCCATTCGTGTTTCCACTGTGTTTCATGGAGCTGTGCAGTAAAGACTGCCTAGCTCCCGGAGGTACAGCACAGTGTTTTTTAGTGAGGGCTTGACAGTTTCAAGTACAGAGATGTGATCTCACAGTCATCACGAGCTATTATGCAAAGCACTGATTATCGACGTCTACCTCCAGACATGGTCCTGGTGCAGATGGGGAGATCTTTGGCGGCTCGCCTAAGGACTTCCTGATGGGCTTCTCCCCTCGGCTCTCTCTCCAGCAACTCTTTCTCTGCATAAGAGAGATGGAACTGTGGAACAGATTTAAATTTTAATCAGTGTTTTCAAAGAAATGATAACATATTGATCTACTAACCCAGAAAAAGGCATTTATAAAATATTAGTGGTGTACAGGATGTAAATTCAGAGAGGTAATAAGGTCTGACATCTGGGCGAGTCTGTTAGCCTCATAGTTTATTAGCTTATGCATCTAGAAAATATAATAATAATAATAGTAATAATACTCACTTCTTCAGATATTTGTAAAACTCAAGAAGAACACAGTATGTAAAAGTACTTTATAAACTAGATTTCTATCCAAATATTAGTTATATTAATAGATAAAATGGCAAAATAAATTTGGCTCAGTGGATGAATTTTTCAATTGGAGCTCAGTAGGAACAAAATTTGAAACAAATCTATCATGTATGTTTTCTCATCTGAGTTTTAACATAGGGATAATTAATCCCTGAATTCTCTTCCAGCACTCAAAATGGACTAGTCACGGCTTTTACTTCTTATACTTCCAACCAATTAAAAAATATTTATTTGAGAAAAATGTAAATTTGTTTGGGCTCCGATATGATAATTGCAAAAGAAAAAAACAGTCTTAAAAGTCTATTTGCACTTCCTTACTTCCTGAGACCATAGGACGCTCCTGGCTCACAGGGAACGTTTCTTGTTCAGGTTCTAGAATCGGCTCTTTCTCCAAGGAACCCTTGTTCCTTTTACTGGAGAACCGTATTAGGAACCAAGATCTGGGCTCGCATACAGTTTTCAGATTAAAAAAGTACAATGTTAAAAGGACATACCAATTAAGAAAAAAACTAGAATCTGATAACAAAGAAACAGAAAACTCACAGAACTATATTTTCTTTTCCTAGTTGTCTTTCACTTAGAACAACAACAAACCTATAACCTCACAAGTAGCTAAAATGTGCAAGTTAAAACAGAGCTTTTTCTTTGCCTATGCAGTTGGCAACAGTTTTTTTTTAATAACATGCAATGCCAAGGGTGCGATGAATCTAAAAGCATTATATATAAATCCTTTAGGGAAATAATTTGGCAAGTGAGTTAAATTTTCTTGATCTAGCGATTATGCCTATGAGAACTCATATTCAGAAAACAATCCCTAAATGGGTAATGCTCTGTGTACAAACATGTTAACGATATTATTTGCAATATGAAAAGTTGGGATCAGTCTGAAAACTCAAGATGGGATGTGACTGAGGCAATGTTTACATTTCAGTGAGAATATTATGCTATTATTAAAAATGAAAATAAGCCAACGATGAACTATTATGTGAAAAAAGTAGCTAGAAAAAAAATCCAGAATGCAAAATGAATTAGTGTTTTGGGATGTTTTTCTTTTGCCTAGTCTTCATTTTCTAAACATAATTTAGGATGGTTATATTACTTTTATATTGGGAAAAAATCTTACAAATTGAGAAAAACAATTTAACAACTGGCTATGAAAAAAGTACATTTTAATTTATGTGTTCCAAATCTCTGACATTATCTCAATAGTGTGAAAAATATAAATATTATATTTTTACTACCTTTCTCCTACTCTTTTAGTCTCATTTTTCAAAGATTTTTAGCACATGAGAGCATTTTCTTGTCAACTTAAGTCCAGGGCCCTCATTTGACAGGTAAGGAGTTTCCGGCTGCTAATCAATTAAGAAAAGTAGCCCAAGATCTTGCATTTTATTAATGGGATAACTTAATATTCTTCACCAGCAAGTGAAGGCTCTTTCTTTTACAACAAGGGTCTCCAAAAATCTTTTGATCCTGTATTCATATCAGTTAAAAATAATTTGAGATCAAAACTGCCAGGATATGCATATGTACGTGTGTGTGCACTATTAGTGAATATGTTATATGCCTTAGATGTGAAATTTTAAACAGAAACATTACAAGGATACCATATTATATAGAAGTGTTGCTATTTTTCTCCATGCTCCAATGGATGTCCTGAGCACACCCACCACTGAACGTGTCCACTGTCTGTGACACGGTGACAAGACTGGAGCCTCGATGGCCCACAGAGCTTTGGTGTAATGCCAGCATTCGCTGTGCCACCCACGAGCACTCGATGCCTTGGGACAGTCAGCTGAGGTTCAGGGCCTGTTGCTACATCTACAATATGGTAATAAATAATGTCCATCTCCCACAGCTCTATGACTCAAACAAAGTAAATATGTGTTTTGCGGAAAAACCGCCCAGGGAAGCCTGGCACTGCTGCGGCTTCCCCGACCACCTCCACGGCGCCGTCAGCATGGTGTCGCTGCTCCTGCGTTTTGAACCATTTCATGTTTTCCGCCTTATCCAACCACTAGTCCAAACCGTCTCTGCTCCTCCAAGCCTCACTCAGCCTGACTCCCTCACCATTCTCAGCCGATCACCGCACACCTCATTTGGGGGAGAAATCAGAAGTCATCTCAACTTCCTGCCAAAGCTACAAACACAACCTGTACACCTAACTTCTTCTCTAGTTTCAATCATTTAACAAGTATTTACTGATTACCTTTCACGGGTGAGACAGGGCTTTGATACTGGCGATGGATTAGTGAACAAAAGAGATAAAGCTCGTGCCATTTTCGGGCTTATGTTCTAGGGATACTATAGAAACGAGGATGAAAAGTGTTACAGGGTGATATGCTACAGAGGAAAATAGCATTTAAGGTCCGGTTTACAGGGAATGCTGGGGGGAAGCAGGGTTTTGCTGTTTTACAGAGTGGTTACGGAAAACCTCAAAGACAAGGCACCACTTGAACCTAGACATAGCATTAGGAAGACAGTGAGGGACCTGGTGACCATACAGGTGAAGAGTGCTCCGGGTCAAGGAGAAATAGCAGGTTCCAAGAGACATGCGTGGCCTGCAGATGGAACGGCAAGGAGGCCCATGGGGCTGAAGCGCAGGAAAGAGAAAGGTGGGGCGGAGACCCCACCCCTAGCACCCTGCTGGGCCGCAGTGGGAAGCCAGGCTTCTACTCTGGGCGGGCTCACGAATCTCAGGGAAGTCCTGGGAAGAAGAGGAATATAGCATGACCTGTCTTGTTTCCGAAAGACTGACTCTGGCTACTGTGTGGAAAACGTGTGGAAGAGGGCAAGTCCGAAAGCAAGGAAACCTGCTGACGCGGCTGGGATGTACCAGGGAGAGAGGGTGGGGGCGTGGCCAGAGGAAGGAGCGGGAGGGTTAGGGGCACGGGCTCGGGCGGAGGGCCCGCGCGGGTCTGGTCTCAGAGGCTGCGGATGGACTGGCTGCCGGTCTGAGAGGAGAGCAGCCAAGGATGACTCCAGGGTTTTCCGAAAAACTGGACGAACGGAGCCGCCATTACCAAGACAGGATGATTTTGGAAACGAGGTGCGGGGGGAATTAGGGGAGTGCGTAGGAAATCAGAAGGTTATTTTCAGGTATGTTGACTTTGAAATTCCTATTAGATGCCAAATAGGTGGCAGTAAACTAGTCCGGGGTTTCGAAGGCAGGACCAGACTACTGATATTAATTTGAAAGCTATAGCAATGAATGAGGCGACATAGAAAGTCGTGAGGTATGTAGATAAGTAAAAGAGAGGCCCAGAGACTGAGCCCTGGGATAATCCAATACTTCTCTAGAGGCTTAGGAGATAATGAGGAACCAGCACAAATGAAAACTGAATTACCTGAATGACAAAGGAGGCAGGGATACTCTAGAAAGAAAAGAATGGCACGATGCAGACAGGAAATGGCACCTAAAGACTAGAGTGTCAAGCGGGAACTCAGAGACTTGGACAAGAGTAGCTGCTGTCAGAATACGGAGCCTGGCCTTCACCCGGCGGGATGTGTGGGGTCACTGAGCAGATACGAGCAGCAGAGCGACGGCATCACGTTTGTTTTCAGATGGGTCACTTCAGCTGTGAGCGGGAGGATGAATTCTGGCAGGGTTCTGGGAAGGGAGCACAGGCAAGACTGAAAACAGTGACACCAGACAGGAAGAGACTGTGATGTTTCGGACAAACGAGATGACTGAGACCCTGAGTGGGCTAACTCGGCTGGTTAGAGCACTGTCCTGATGCACCAAGGTTGTGGGTTCAATCCCTGGTCAGGCCACATACAAGAGTCAACCAACGAATGCATGGGATGGGTGGAACAACAGGTAGCTATTTCTATCTCTCTAAATTCAATAAATTAAAAAGACATTTTTTTAAATTAAAAAAATAATTAAAAATGAGTAAGTGAATGACCAGGAAAGAAGGAGTTGAAACAAAAAAGGAAACATTACGAAGTGAAAACATCCACAGAATTTGGATGCTGGCAGAGGGGTGAGGAAGCTGGAAGACCCGGGCATGGCTGCCGAGCTGCTGGCTCGGATGGTGAGGTGAACGTCAGGGGCACTCACCGGTCTGAGACACGGGTGAGTCACCGTGTGGGGAAGGAGAGGGTGGTGAATTCAGTTTTTGATGTGTTATACTGGAGATGTCGGTGGAATGATCAAGAAGCTCTGTTTGGCAGGGAGATATAAGGTTGAACATGAAGGGAGAGGTCAGAAGGAGAAACACATTTGGAAATTTTCAACACAGAGGTCATCGGTAAGGTCGCAATCGTCAGCACAGTGGATGAGATCACCTGCGACAGAAGTCAGCACTTTCCTTCAAACCTGCAACTACGGCCGGAATAGGGCTGAGAGACGCCAGAAAAGAGGGGGATAGGATGGGGAGGAGAGAGAGAGGTATGAAAAGAAAAACAAGCAGATAGTAGGGGAAAGCCAGAGTTCACACATTCTAGGCCAAGCATACTGTTCACTCTGCACAAGGGCTGTGGCTTTGGTCTCATATCCTGTCCCAGGCCACATGGCACACTGACTGGCCTTAGGACGGCAGCTGCACGCAAATAGGTCACTTCAGGGAACAGTTTACAGTGCCGCCCAGACTCTTTCTTTTTTTTTTTTAAGGCTCACCTACTGAAACCACATTATTGTTACTGGGGCAGGGTTTATTTCTACTCAACAAACATGTACTGACCCAAGGGACAAGGACATAAAAACGAGGAAGATACAGTCCTTTGCTGCAAGATTTAACCCAGGTTAAAGGCCCAGGAACAAATAGCTGGAATGATCTTTTTGAAATTCGTATCCTATCACTTTACTTAAAAGCTTCTGTGGCTGAGACAGCTATTGACCCTCAACATGCATTCTCTCCTGCTTCTAACACAGCCCATATGGCCATGAAGAATAAAGACTACACTCCCAGCCTTCTGCGCAAATAGATTATGGCCATATAACTAAGCTCCAAATATAAGTGGAAATGGCATCAGCAACTTCTAAAAAGTGTCCTTATAGAGAAGGATATTTACTTTTACTCCTTTTTCCTACTTTTTCTGGCCTGTTGGCTGGAATGTAGACATGATGGCTGGAACCAGAGCAGCCGTCTTAGGCCAAGAGGTCACCTTGGGAATGAAGACTACATGTGTCAGAGCAAGAAAACAGAAGCCTGGATCCCCGGCAGCTGTGGCCTAGCTACAGACTTTGAATGTATAGATTAGTATAATTAATTACTTTGTTGTTGTTGTTTGGTGGCTAATAGCCAACTAACACCATTAGGATGATAATTATAATAGAAGCATGTCTACCTTCAGCTCTATCTATCTGTTCATCCATCCATCCATCCATCCCTCCACCTATCCTGATGTCTAAAGTAGAAATACAACACATAGCAGTTTTAAAATTGGAAATATAACGGTCATTCAGTGCAAAAACCATATTTACCAAATGAAAATTCAACTATTTACTAAGACATCAATATTAAAAATTATTACCACTCGGTAAGTTTACGACATTAATAAAAAAGACATAAAATTCATTCTCCAAGACGTTAGTATAATTGATTTCTAACTTCAGGATGACTAGTAATATTTTAACTTACTTCCTTGGAAGGATTCATTGGTAGCGTGAAGATGGTTTTCCAGTACGACCAGACGAACATCGCAAAAAGCAGATGATACGCGATCAGGCACACGACTAGAGCGAGAGAAACGTGACTGTCACTGTCACATGCAGACTGGCGTTCACAAGCGATCTGCTCCTTCTGAAATGCCAAAGCTACCAACTATAACGAATGCAATCTATTTTGAAATTTTACTACCAGTTTTTATTATTGTCAATAAGTTCATTTGTATCATACTAGAATAGGCACAACCTAATGAATGAATTTTCACACCTAAAGCAAGAAACTGAAAAAACCTAGTAATGCATAATTAATTAGGTCTATGGCCCGATTAGAGCCCACCCACCTGCAGGCAGGCCCACCTATCAGCAAAATGGCTCCCAGGGGCCTTCCCTAACCTGTGAAAGGGGGCAGGTGTGCCTGCACCTCTAACTCACAGGCGCAGCATTAACCAAACGTCAAAGCGTTCAGGCTTGAAGAACTCCACTTCATGTGCCAAGAACGGCAAAAGCAGTTCCTGCTTGAGAAGCTGTTTGCTTACTTGCTCAGCTCTAGTCAAAGCTGGTGGCCATCACTGTTTTAGTGACAACAAGTTTACACAGAGAACCATCTGGATAGAGAGAGATTTCTTCCAGTGGAACTTCCAGTGTCTCATTTATCGCATGGGATGACTGTTAAGAAAAGTGTTCTGATACTTTTTTCAGGTAATATATATATATATTTATATAATATTTATATATATATATATGAACACACTTCGGTGTTTTATTCTTGAAGTACTATGAGAATATAAAATATTAATCCTGTAAATGGTGATAATGATTAATTCTGGGGTATACATTAATAGATAACAATTCTGTAAGATACAGTTGAGTAAAATATGCTAATTTAAAACACAGCATATTTGATATTTTAAACATGAGTAGCAATTGTAACTTTTTAAAAAATGATACTCCTATTTGTAGAATCATTAAAAGATTAAATTATCCACTAAGGCACTTAAATCAGTGTGAGATATGTAGAGCCAATGATCTTTCCCGTGGATTTTGAAGGTGACACAGGCATGGACAATACTCTGAGCTGAAACAGGAAATTACTGATATTCCCGTATCTTGAAGCCACGCGAGTCTTTGGCACAACTGTGGCTGTTTCGGGGTGGAGTCTTTGCCAGCTGTCTGGCAGAATCCAGTCCGGGAACCAAGAGCCTAGAATTTCTTTAACCCCAGCTTGTCCCCACACTCTTAAAGAACAGCTTCTTTATCCTAGCCAGACCCAAGTGAATTCTATTTGTTTTCTTAAAAACGTTTTTAAGATTTTATATCTAAAACAATAATATAATATGCTTTACCTTGTTCTCCAATGTTTTCCATGGACACTATAGAAATGAACAGAAAAAAAAAGAGACAGGAAATAGGTTACAGGAGACACAGGGCAAACACGGGGCCAAACAGAGACCCAGGGCGCAGCAGGTAAATGGTTGGACCCCCCTGCAAACCAACGTTCTTTAAGTATCTGTCCGACTTCATTTGGAGGAGAGGCGAGCACCGTGGGGGGTAAAGAGGGGTAAGACAGACACACCCAGCCGCGTCTCCACGGGCAGGTCCGCGAAACTGTCAGGCTGGCCCCTTGGGTCTCACTGCCACAGTAATGATGGGTCTCACGCTCTCCCTTCCAACTACAGAGCTCAGATAACAGCACTGTTCTCCCGGTCACTCCATTTCCAGAGACATTTCTTGCTGTTTGCAAGAAGGCAATCACCTAGTTAGCACTCCATGGTGAAAAAAAAATGTTGTGTCCACACCACACACTCCTTTTCCAATTTCTACCAGCACACAGTCTTGTGCCCGATGGTTAACTGCTCCCTGCAGGTAACGAGGGGCCTGGGCGACGTGCCAGAGAGACGGCCACCCCTCAGGGGCTGTGGTAAACATCCCAGGGTGGCAGGTCGGTCAGCACAAGGACCACGGAATGGAACACGCAGGGACAAGAAGCTGAATTCAGCAATGCAGGTGGTTTTCTTAGCATCTGCACTGTCTACTGGCTGTGTTTCTCACGTGGACTTCCTCCACTTGTGCTAGGGTCTTTTGGAAGTTCTGGTCTATCCTGGTTGTAACAAAAGGAGATCTGACTTGGCTCACTTACGTGTTTCTGTTCCTATTGGGCTTTTGTAAGGGGGACAGTGTTCCAGGCCTTAGTCCCGGGAGATGTGATTTCATTGCCTTAAGAAGCAGTGGAAGCAGAGCACGATGTTGTGAGAGATTTTTGAGAACACCTGATCCGACCAACCTCCTTTCCAAGAGAGCTACTGAATACCAGTCTGAGCATCTCCAGAGCCAGCAGGAGCCCACGGCTTTGGAGAGCAGCCCGTTCCAGTATTAGATTGCTCTGAGAAGGATCACAAGATTGTTGTGAGCTGAAATTAGCCTCCTGGTGGCTTCTACCTATGGTTTCTACGCTTCCGACCTGCAGCGATAAACAGAAAATCTAAACGACTTTCACATACTTCAAGTTGTGAGCCCTTAAAAAAGTTCTCTTATAGCCACACGACTTCCAGGTTTCTCACTGGCCTTGACGGGGCTCCTTCCTAAGCTCTCAGTTTCCTTGAACATTTCTGATCCCCGGAACGGGACTGGCAAACACAGATAATCTCTGACATACAACCGGCCCGTTCTGCTCGTTTGCTTACAAATCAGAGCGTGGAGGTAAGAGTTCACTTTGTCAGGGAGTCCCGGGGCGGGGGGAGAGCTGGGGGCACTGGGAGGGCCCTAGGCCAGCGCGTCTGCCACGGCTGACGCTCCCCCTCCCTGCGTGCTCCCTGCGTGCGTTTCTCTCTAGGCAGTGCCTTCCCAGGCTTCAAAAGTGCCCCGAACTGACGACAGCTCTCCCCTGGATCAGCATGTCCACTCCTTCAGGGGAGCTCATCTCAGGAGTTGGAAAAACAATGTGATGGCATATGCACATTTATGTATGAAGGACCCTTAAGGACCATTCCATTCTGGAGGTGCTGGTGTCTTAAAGAAATGTATTTGCCAACCCATGGCTCTAGCTGTCAGAACTGAAGAAAGTAACACAACAGAAAAAGTACAGGTGGTATGAATCTTTTTGATCTGGACCACTACCAGGCTGGCTGATAGGGAAAGAGATCACTTTCAAGGCTATTTCTTCTCTCCACAGCTTGTTTTTTCTCTAACGGGCATGGATGCATGTTTATGGTAAATAATTCCGGTAACATTTACAGAGTAAAATGTGAAGTTTGAAGAGGCTGTATCAGTTACACTCCCAGAAAGATGCTGAGCTTGTCCAGTTTCCTAATAAACATAAAATAGATCTTTAACTTTTGTCAATACCTTAGGTAAAAATAAAAATCTGTTTTAGTATTGCTTTCCCTGATTACTGGCAAAGGTTAGTTATTTTTAAAATGCAATGATTGGTTTTTCTATCTTTTCTGAGTGCATTGCCACTTTCCCATTAGTTTGTGTCTCTTCCTGAGAGCCTTTTATGTATTCTGGACAGTAATCCATGGCTGTTGCATATGTTGCAAGCAAGGTTTATATAAATACTTTCAAGTGATTTAACATCTACTAGTAAGATCTTATGGCTTATCATCGATTAAGTAACAGTGTCAAAATTTTCTAATTGACCTAGTTCACTAACAGACACATAGTCTCCACTTCTGTGATACTGAGGACATTAATGCTCTCAAACAGGTACTTCTAAGCAGTATTCGGTGATTTGCCTTGTAATCTTCATTTAGCAGAAGTGTCCATTTCAACATTTCCTTTCTTATGATAAAAACACATCAAATACAATGTTATTCTGAAATGCAGATATATTTGTTGTTAAGTAGCTCTTTAAGAAAAGGTTGCAATTTACTCTTGGGGATAAGAGTATGGCATTATTACCTGAAATAGTTACTATTTATACATCCAGTGATCATCTGCATACATACAAGAATAACACTGAGGGTCACTATTTTAATTTTCACTTCAAAAGATTTTTATCTGATTTTATTTTGGATTAGCCTAATTTCTTTCTGGTCCATGGCCTACAATGATAACATTTTAAGATTTAAAGATTTCTAACCTCCCAATATACTTCCAGAGCCTAAAACGGTTCCCTGATTAGTTACAGTGCCATGAGGAAACCAGGTTCCTGGCTGGTTAAGGTCCTAAGGACCTGCAGCACTTCCACAGCACGGACAGTGTAAGAGAAAGAGGGAGTGGGAACAGGGAACTATTACCAGAGTTACCACGGAGGGTGCTTCTGTTTGCCAAGAGCAAATGAAGCCTTTAAGGGTTACATTTGGAATCTGGAGCCGTTGCAGACACAGCAAGTCTGGTCGTTGGGTTGCCAGCTGTTTCCTGGCTCCACTGTGCGCCTAGCCTCCTCCGCCCTCATGAGTCATTTCTGTAAGAAGCAGCGGGGCATTAGCAAAAAAAGGCTGAACTGGTACAGAATGATCACGAGCGACATTTCTATTGTCGTGTTGATCTTTAAGAAATCCTGTATGAAAATAAAACCAGTAAAACCAAAGTTGAAGAGTGAGAATATTAATAACTGCTGATTATTATTAGTAACTAATAACCACTAAAATACAAAAGGATGACAAACTGTTTCTTGATCCAACTTGGCTGGAAATAAACTTCCTTTAAAATGCACATCCCCTCCTTATCTCTTTTTTGCATGCATTAGCAAGCAATCATTTAATCCAGGGGTCAGCAAACCACACACCTTGGTCCAAATACAGCCAGCCACTGTTTCTGTAAATAAACTTGTATTGGCACACAGACACACCCATCTGTTTACGTGGCTATTTCTGTACCACAGTGGCAGAGCTGGGCAGACCCAGGGCAGAGCTAATGCTGGGGTCCTGGGTCTGAAGGCAGTCTAGAGGTGGGATTCCTCTTCTTCAGGGAATCTCAGTCTTTGCTGGTAAGGCCTTCGACTGATTAGATGAGGCCCACCCAGATTGTGGAAGGTGACCTGCTTAACTCGGTATCTGTTGATTTAAATGTTAATTACCTATTAAAAAAATCACTTCTTGTTGTAACTACAGTGGTGTTTAATAAAACCACCGGCTGCCACAGCCAGGCCAAGTTCACACAAATATTTAGTCATCAGACCCTGAATCTATAATTGTTTTATTTTGTAAATCTACTAAGAAGATATGTATTTAATTTTTTGATATCAGTTCTCAAGACAACTTTATTATTTATCATCAATTAATCAATTGAAATTATATCTAGAAAATTAATGACAGTATGTTTTAAGTGTCTGTTAGAGAGAAAACAATAATGTTATCCTTTGGCATACTCTCAAAACCTGACTACAAATAATCTTACCCAGATGAAGTTTATTTATACATCCATATGATTGCTAACGGTGCTAGATAAAAATATCAGAGCGGATTTCATCTAGATTGATTAAAATTCAACCTTGATTAAAAACATAGATCATCTAAAAAATTATTCTAGTCCCATATTTTTACCAACTAATCTTTAAAAATTTAGCTTTGGTGATTATGCAGTGAGTTTGTTGTTAAAGAAATGCATCCATTGATAAGTAGTAGCCCAGTAAACTGTTAAATCTAGTTTAAATTTTAGTCAGCGGTACTTTCAAAATCCAAAAGTTCAGATACTAAAATAGGCCTTCATAGTAGACTTAAAAAATGTACTTATCCCTTAAATTAGCAAAGCACAGTTACATAACTGTTGCTAGAACAGTTTGGTGCTTTCACTGCAAATGTATACGGCGGCCTTCTTTTTCTTTCTTTTCTTAATTGGAATTTTCTTTTTCTTACCTCCAAATTCCAGCTCCCTCTTTGGAGAATAATGTACCTATATTGCATATATGTGGCAACTCCTCTATGTAAATCCTAAAATCACTACGCTCTCTCCAAACTCAGTGCGGCACAGATACACCTCAGCCCCACGCACGCAGTCTGACGATGGAGAATACCGACAACAAAGACGGGGTTCCAATGGCTGAATCGGAAGGTACCTTCATAGCCTGGTTCTGTTTTCTCTCTGCCTGTCTTTAACACATTTACTGGAAAACATGCACTGACCACACTCTGCTGTTACACTGTTGAAGACATAAGGACCATGAAGCTCCGTCCTGTGAAGAGCTCCAAGGGTAGGAGGAATCGTTTTCGTTGGCAGTTAAAGTGATGGAGAAAAGCACGGCTCTGAAAACAGTCTCAATGAAGAGATTCGGAAGGACACACTGGTGGTTGCGAAGCAGCCACGGGAGGCCCAGTGCAGCTCAGGGAAGGCGGTCAGGACACGGGGCGGGCAAAGGCAGGTTTACAGCTGTGAGCGCACGAAACACGGGTGTGTCCTTGTGTTATTAGGCATTAGTGATCTATTATTTTCC